GATTTCTTATACATACAGCATTAATATGCAGATAGTAAAGGTTCAAACTACCCGTTATGTCAAGAGGAACAGTATCATAAATGGAAACAGAAGTTCGAAATTTAAGTTTCTACTAATATGAATTCACTGACATTTCATGTTGTTTTGTTCACGATTAATGTCCCTAAGTCGTGCTTCTAATGTTCAACCAGTCGAATAATTGTTTGCAATAATTCAATTCACTGTTATTCCCATGCATTGATGACACTATTGTTGAAGAAATACACCCACATGTGTCTTGCCGGTATAAGTCATGACCTATATACATTATACATACATTATGTGTGTGTGTGTGTGTGTGGCTTCTTACTCCGGATTTCATAGCGCTTGCCTACTGAGATGACATGCTGTAGTTGAACATAATTACCCCACTCAGACACAATATACTGACTAGGTGCCAATCAGTCCTCGTTTAAGCACCGAAATGCCGAGTGCCAGACAGAGCAACAAATTGTATAATCTTTTAACGTCTTTTGGTATGATCCGTCCGAATATCGAATCCCAGCCCTTTCACTCTCCGGGAACAGTCCCTTGATGAAGTAAAAGTACAAGGAGTTTTGTAAAGTGCTGAATGGCAGAGGTGCTTGGAAAATAAAGCATCATCAGATAAATCGCATTCCAATTTTTGGAGAGGAGGATTGGAGACAGGAAAATAATACCAGACTGTGTTTAACATCTTGACAATACCAAAAATCATCTTGTTGAGAATACATGGATCACAAACGGCGGCCATAACTAGCTCCTTCAAGATAAATTGCATAATCTAGTAAGTGTTTTCTTCCCCACCTTACCACTATACCGTTAAGTAGTGAGTGAGCGAGTTAAAATTTTAAGTCACATCGGCAATATTTCAGCCATATCGAGGGACAGTAAAATAAATACAGTTAAGTAATTTAAATTTCATTGAATTAATCTAAGTGGGGTTTTAACAACAATTTCAAAACAGGCACACATAGCTACTGCACTTTATTAATCTTTAAGCACTTTGACATTCATTAGTGTATGCTGAAATTTGACACGACTACGATCTTCTATAAATGTAATAACATTTAATAGCATTGCAATGTTTATGCAGACATATTGCAAAGTGCAGCGTGCAGTGGTTTGTTCAATAAACTGTTGGACAAGGACAACGTGTGCTTGCCTTCACACAGAGAACGTTTACGCGATACACAAACTGCTCTCTGCACATATCCTTCATGGAAGTAGGCACCCGTGAAGGGCAACCTCCCCGTGGTAAGTGCCGGGTAACGCTAAAAGCTCTTCCCCCGTGTGGACCCGGGGTAGAATGTGTCCTCAGCACCCAATTGCTGGTCGTAAAAGGCGACCAAATTGGGCAATCCGTTTGCCGTGTGTTGCGCCCCTGTGTCGATGGAGGAAGGTAGTCTGGTAGTTGAGAGCACTGGTTCCTGGAACTGTGTTCCTTTGCCAAACACACAACTGTGACCCTAACTTCACCTAGACAGGTGGTAGAATGGGCCCGGTTCTTCCAACAAGTTCTAAATCAATCAAATCTGGGTACTTTAATATTGGCTTGGAAGTTTATGTACCAAACCCACTCCGAAGTTATAAATGTCAACATTTTGAACATGGTGCCAATACCTGTACTCTCAGCACTGTCTGTGTGCGCTGCCGTGGCTCACATGAGAGCACAGAGTGCACTGATGCCATAAAGTGTGCAAATTGCGATAGAGACCGCTTGGCCCCATCCAAACTTTGTCCACTAAATGGCAAATATTAACAACTAAACACACTAATAATAACTCTTTTCATGATGCTAAGAAGCTAGTTCAGTCACAATCTCCCCAAAACTTAACAAAATCTTAATCAGCAGCAGTAACTGTCACTCCTGGTGTCAAGGCTGCCACAGTATCAGTAGGATGCCAAACAACCATCTCTTGGGTTGATAATCAGCAGATTCTAAAAGACAATACAGCCCAAACATCTCCAGCAACACGAAGCAACATCAGCTTCACAGACGGAGCTAGTGGAATCAAAAACATTGGAACCAGAATCATCTCCAATTCATAGAGACCCACATTTAACAAAAAAGGAAAAAAAAAGAAACTTAAAAAAACAGCCAAGGCCCTCTAACACTTGGATGTGCCTTCTTCTCAGCCAGCACCTGTTAAGGTTCAATATCAGTCCTGATCAAGATTCTCAGCAGAACCACTATGACCTGTTCTAACCCTATCATACAATGGAATTGCAGAGGACTATTAAACAATTTTAATGATTTGCAGCAATGAAAACAAGATTTCAAGCCATCAGCCATTTGTTTGCCAGTAACTTACCTTAAAACTATATATCAACTAAACAATAAACAATACGATTCCTATCATTTCTTTTCACCTCCAGGGGATAAAGCAACTGGAGGTTCTACTATCTTGGTGAAGCAGGGTGTTATTCATAGCCCTGTGTCCTCTCAATGCTCCTCGGCCGCCTCCGTGGTCTAGTGGTAGAGCGTCCGCCCGGAAAGCGGAAGGTCCGGTGTTCGATCCCCGACCGCGTCATACCAAACGACGTTAAAAGATGGTACTTGTTGTTACCCTGTCTGGCGCTCGGCATTAAGGGGCTAAAACAAGGACTGGTCGGCTCGGAGTCAGTTTACTGTGTCTGAGTGGGGTATTCATGTTCAACTGTAGCATGGTATCTCAGTGAGCTAGCACTATAAATCGGCATCAGTCCGGACTAGTACAAGCAGCCACACAAACACACACACGTACATGCACGTCGCTATATAAGTGCAATAATCTTGGATGCGACGTTAAACCCCATTTCACCTCACCTCACCTCAATGTTCCTCTACAAGCTATCACAGTTTGTTTCACCATGCAAATTGTTTTTACTCTGTGATCTGTTTACATTCCTCCATCTGCATCTCCTCCGATCGTCAAGCTCTCTATGACCAGTTTCCTAAGCCCTGTATGATAATGGACGATATGAACGGTCATAATCCACTTTGACTTTGTGATCATACAAGCAGAAGAGACAAGCTCCGTAGAAGATTTTATTTTCAACAAAACTCTATGCATTTTAAACGATAATTCAAAAAACATATTTACATCCTGGTACAGGCACATACTCTTCTTTGGATTTGATTGTTACCGATTCCAACCTGCTGAATGAATTTGAGTGGTCAGTTCACGATAACCTCTGTGGAAGTGACATTAAACACTATTACCCCATCATATGTTCCTCCATCATCTCGATGGAACTTCAAGGAAGCCAACTCGCCTCTGTATGACATTCTCTGTACAGGCAAACACCTGATCGCTTTACTGACGTTCGTGATCGAATACAATTCTTTTCTGATGAACTCAACAAGATAGCTGAAGAATGTGTTCCAAAGTCATCTGCAATTTCCCACATACAAACAAGCTATGAAGGCGAGGAAAAAGGCTGAGCATTATATCCGTCATCATCCTATGGTCCATAATTTAAAAAATTAAACATTTTAAACACTAAAACAAGGCGAACGTTTAAACAAAGTAAACGCCAATCTTAGCGAAATTATGTGTCAAAAATACATTCACGCCCATGTCCAAGGTATGGAACATGATCCAGAGAACCAAAGGTAAGGGCACTAAATCTAGTATTCAGCATCTTTCTTAACTGGTTTACATTTCTCTACTTCAATGCTGTGACAATTATTACTTTGTCATAAGTTAACTTCAAAGAAATGCCTCTCAAACAATACATGGCTATGGTATTTTTTCCACAGTCTTCACAAGTCGCGTGGTCGGGAGATCTGTACTGTCGTATGGAGAATGTTCTCTGCAGAAAGGAGACATTTATGCAACTCATGCAACTATGCTTAGTTAACGCACCTGAAATATAACATAATTGGTTCTCCCCTCTAAAAATGTGTCGATGCATAACTAGATATTGTAACCATTGACTTGACAGTGATAGTGTAAACTCAAATATCTCATGTGCATGGATAGTTTTGTCCTTATCTCAAAAGACTACGAGTCGACTGGAGTTGAAAAATGTCCCTCCGTATCTCTGTGTTGTAAGATTATTATATGCACTGAACCTTGGCACCTGACTGTGGCTCGACAATGTCCCTTCATATTTATGTGTTGTAAGATCAAGCTATTCATTGACCCTTGGCACCTGACATATACACGTCTCATTCTTGCATTGAATTGCGTTAGTTATTGTATTTCAAACATAAATGTTCCCTAGAATGACGAACAAACTGATTTAATGTGCAGTTTTGAACCTATGCTTATTACTACCTTCTACCATATACCTGGGCAGGGCTGGGCATGTTTTGTGTGCTGTGCATAACATGTAGTTACTCGTCCTACCCCTTTACAAACATGCCAAATACAAACTGCTCTCAAACTGTTTCCTTTGAGGAAGTCTGAATTAATGATATTGTGGGCAGGGAAAATTATTATTTACTGGTCCCGTTTTTTTTATATGTCTTATCTATAAAGAACTCATATAAATGCATCGTTTCGTTCCTCTTTGTAAAAAATGCAGGCAGAGTGTATTCAGCTAACAGTGAGAATACATTGGCATAAAATCGCGAACAACACCTGACTATGGCTCTACCGATATACAATGCGTAGTATAATGTCTCTTAATAGGGTATAGTTCACCATGATTTTATGTGATAGGCTATAAAAATTGTTTGTTCTATACATAATTTATTCTGTACATTTGAAACACAATAGATATGTACACGTCACTGTCGAGCTGTTGTGATAGTTTCTGACACTAACATTTGATGCAATAGAAATGAATTGTGATGTTTGAAATCGTTTCTGTAGTGAGTTTGGGACTATTACTAAAATACACCAATGTCTGACAATGAAAGTAAGTTATTGATATTGCCAGATTTCCGAAGAAATATAACTCCGAAACACAACATTGTGACAGACGTTAAGCACGTGACCTCGGACAGCACGTTCTAGGGATGGTATGCCAGATTTACTATTGCCACTCACATTCGGGTGTGATGAGACGCATCTTATCTTCCTCGAAGACACTTTCTAAGGCATGTTGATACATTTAGGATGGCATATCATTGATCATGCAACGTCTGCAACGTGATGAACGTTTATGTGCAACATGACCACTTTTTGCTGATGACAGATTGTGGGCCCAAACCAACAAACACATAACATCGATGACCGATGCTGCTCTGGCAACAACTCCAGCACAGAAGAGATAAGTCAGAACGATCACATTAAGAAATCGTTCGCAAAGTGCCACTCAGACAAGCGACTGGTTGCAACAGGTGTAAGAGTACATGCCCCGACGATGGGAAATCGTCTGCACATGTGGCAACTTACGGCATGTCATTTGAATCAGTGTGAAAGGAACGTCATCACTTGTGATGTAGATGTAAAAATCACTTTTTGCCACAACATTGTATATATATATATATATATATATATATGTGTGTGTGTGTGTGTGTTTGTTGATATATATATATGGACCAGAGATGATGAGGGATCTTCACATGAAGGCTGCTCTTGACATAATGCGTGATGAAAATGCGTGTGATATGCAAACACGCTACTGTCCCCTTATATACAACCTACCCAGCCACTGGAAGGTTCCCTACAGCATTCACAACATAGAACATTAGGGAAATGTTTCTATAACATACTCTCACCGTCTGTGGTTTTCGGACCAGACCACACTAGCCTGGTCAACAAACCTGATGCATCTTCCTCCAACAGGACAACTCCAGCACCAATGTCACAAGCATCTACAGCTATTTTGAAGAATTTAAAAAAAAAAATCCTTTGAGAACAAATTCATGAGAATTGCTTTAATGTTGTCAAAAGCAGCTTGACATTGCTGTTCCAAATACATTTCACCTATTTTCCAAGCAAATTAGTGAGAGGGGCTGGCACATGTGAGAAAATTGGACAATATCTACAGTAGTACCCAGCCATATCAAGAACTTGAATATTTTTTTTAGATAGCTTCCACCTTTGGCCTATGACATGACCTAAAAATTAGACATGTGCCTGTGTAAATTCACTTTTCACCTAATTTACAGTCAACTTGGCTTCAGTGAGTCCCTGGAAGGAGTCAACGATCTTCGTCAGGTGTTCGTCCAAATCCATTGCATGACTGATGACATTGTCAGGGTAGACTTCGACACCGTTCGATGAACCTGGCTTAACCGATTAACAACTGTGGTATGGTTAAGGTACTATGTTCTGTGGGTTTAGCAAGGTTAAACCATCACAGAAAGAAACACTTGTGTTTGTTCAAAACAATATTTCACTTGTCATGGAAGATATTGCTCACTGAGTAGTGGCCTTTTCCCCTTGCTATCATATCTGCCGTTGATCCATAATTATTTGTGGCGTTGATGTCCACAATGTTCCTGGAGATGATATGTCTCACGATATCAGCATTACCCACTGCACTGGCAACATGAAGGACGTTGTCACCATCATCATCCACTAGAGTTCCATCAGCTCCCTTATTCAACAGGAAGTCAAAGACGCCTGTCTGTGCCTTCTCTGCGGCCCACATCAATGAAGTCCTTCCACCATGTCCTCTACTGTTGATGTGAAACATGCACTTCATCAGAACAACGTTTATGATCTTCACATTATCCCCACTGCACGAGACATGATGGATGTTGTTCCTATCATCATCTCTCAGGGATATATCTGCACCATGTTGAACAAGCAGATCAAACACTTCACTGTTTCCAAACTCTGCCGCCAACATCACCGGAGTCCTACCATACTTCCCTCTACTGTTAATGTCAACAGCATGCTTTAAGATGAGAAAGTTGACTATGCTGACATTCCCGGTGATACATGCTACATGCAGGATGCTATTGTTATCCTCATTCAGGAGAGACAGATCTGCTTGTTTCTTCACCAGCAACTCAAACACTCCCCTGTTTCCTCTACTGGCTGCTGTCATGACGGGGGTGTTACCGTGGCTACCTCTGCTGTTGATGTCAATAACATCGAGTGAGAGAAGACATTTGACCATCTTCACATTTCCTCCACAAGCAATGTGAAGGATGGTGTCTCTATTGTCATCCACAAGCAACAAGTCGCTGCCTTTACACACAAGGAAGTAAAACAGTTCTATATGACCAAACTCTGCTGCCAACATCACTGGTGTTCTACCATACTTTCCTTTGATGTTGATGTTGGAGATGTTCATCTGGAGTAGGTGCTTAACCATTTCTACATTTCCACCAATGCAGGCCACATGAAGAATGTTGTCATTTTCATCATCCATAAGAGACAGGTCACCTCCTTCATTTACAAGAAAGTCAAGCACTTGTCGATTTCCTTTTTCTGCTGCCAACATGACCAGCGTTCTGCCCCACCTCCCTCGACTGTTGATGTCAAATTGTCCCAGTGACAGGATGTATGCAACCATGTCCATACTGCCACCACTGCAGGCAATGTGGAGGATGCTATCACCATGGTCGTCATTGAGCATTACATCACATCCTTTACTCATCAGCAACTTGAACACATCTATATGACCCTTCTCTGCTGCAGACATTATTGAAGTACGCCCGTCTCTGCCTCTGCTCTTGATGCCAAATGTGTTGTATGCAAGAAGATAATTCACCATCTCCACCCTGCCCCCCAGACAGGCCACATGTATTATGTTGTTACCACAAGAATCGTCAAGATGCAGATTACAATTTCTACTCACAAGCAAGTTGAACACTTGTCTATGTCCTTTCTCTGCTGCCAGCATTACTGGTGTCCGTCCAATCTTACCTCTGCTGTTGATGTCGAATATAAATCCCGAGAGGACGTACACCACCATGTGCAGGTGGCCTCCAATACAGGACACATGCAGAATGTTGTTACCATCACCGTCTGTCTGAAACATGTTGCCTCCTTGACAGAGAAGAAGGTTAAAAAGTTCCTTCTTACCATTTTGTGCAGCCACCATCAGTGGTGATCTTCCCTTTCTCCCACGGCTGTTAATACCAACAACTTGTTTTGAGAGAATATGCTTAACCATTGTTCCATTGCCTCTAATACAGGCAACATGGAGGATGTTGTCATTTTCATTGTCAAAGAGGGATACATCACCGCCTTTGTCCACAAGGAGATTTAATACTCTCTTGTGTCCACCCCATGCTGCCTTCATCACTGGCGTTCTGCCATACTTCCCTCTACTGTTAATGCTAACAATATTTTCATGAAGGATATATTTCACAATATCCAAATAGCCACCCAAACAGGCATGGTGAAGAATATTGTCGCCATCATTGCTTACATGCGTCAAATCACATCCTGAGCTAACGAGTAGGTCAAAGATTGTCTTATATCCTTTTCGGGCTGCCAGCATAATTGGTGTTCTGCCGTACATTCCTTTACTGTTAATGTCAACAATGTCAAGTTTGAGAATATGCCTGACCATTTCCAAGTCGCCCCCAAGACAGGCAACATGAAGCACATTGTTGCCATCATCATCCAAGTGTAGCAGATCAGCTCTTTCCCTCACCAAAAGTTGGAACAAGGACCTGTTTCCATCACAGGCGGCAACCATGACTGGCGTCCTCCCATTCTTCCCCCTGGTGTTGATATCAGCTAAACCGTCAGACAAGAGGTACCTCACACCTTCTATGCTCCCCTGTCGGCAGGCGCTATGGAGCGTGAGGTCTGTCGAAGGTGTCTGAAGGTTCATTCGAGTACTGAACAACATTTTGATTCCTGAAAGAATACATCAACTGCTGATTACATGTAAAAGGGATGATAGAGAGTACTGACCTTAGTACAAAAGCCAAATGGAGTGTAGATGATTGATTTCTACTATTATTGTCTGTTTTAAAACAGCGATTCACTGTGCAGAGTGCCCTTGGGCACACCAGAAACCTATGATTGTGGGTTCGGATCTCGGTTCGCCCCGATTATGTTCCTAGGTTTGTCAGCACCAAACCCGTGCTCGCGGATTTCACCGAAGTGGTAAACGTCTAGGATCTGCATCACTTCGGGCTTTCCTCCCACATTAACCTGACACGCCATGATATAACTGGAATAATGTTAAAAGCGGCGTTAAACCCAACTCACTCACTTTCTCAGGCTTTCCTTCCACATAAAGCTGACAGGCCGTGATATAGCTGGAATAATGTTAAAACGATGTTAAACCCAACTCACTCACCCATCTCACTCTCTCTCTCTCTCTCTCTCTGAGGCTTTCCATCCACATTAAGCTGACAAGCCGTGATATAACTGGAAAAGCGTTTAGCCCAACTCACTCACTCACTCTCCTCCCCCACCCCCCACCCCACCCCCACCTCTCTCTCTCTTTCTCTCTCTCCGTCTCTCTCTCAGATGTGATATTAGAAAAATGAAAGAAACCAACCTGTACGACGCTTGGTATATGTCAGACAAACTCACTTTACACACATTTTGATCTTAATGTTGGTAAGCGAGACGACACACCAGTGGCAGTTTTACAAGTGAATAACGATTTCCTTTCTCATTCAACTCCATTTAATGGGGGGTCTAACGGTGGTAGCTGACAGGTATGACGGCTGACAATACACCTTCAGGTATAGTTGAGGAGCTTTGTGGGATGTCTTTGATATGTGAATGAGAAACGAGTATAAATACTATTGAATAAACGCTAAGGATTAAAAACTGATCTGAGGTTATACCTGTATAATAACTAAGATTTTTTTTTACATTTTGGGTAAAGGTAATAACGGAAGGTTGAACTGATTTATATATAACACGAGCAACAAATGGCACACATGGTTTGTACGGCCTTATAAAACAGCTTGCGCATGTGGCTAATGCGTGATGACATGTAGAAATGGGAACGGGTGTCTGATATCACGTGATACGTACAACGTTAATGTGAAGCTGTATGGGGTGACTGTGTATGGGGTGTAATAACTAGCTCTTGTATGCAGTTGTAACAAGAGTAAGCATGTGACACCAGAAGGATCAGGAGCTTCCGCCTGTGTCTGGTCGCCTCTCATCTACATTGTGGGTTCAGCCTTTACATATGATTGTTTGACCATTGCGTGGCATCACTTACTTACTAAACATGTTTACAAAGTATACCCTCCAATTCTCTATTCAGACGCCTGATAACTATTTCAATACATTTCAAATATAATTTGTATGGGACGTCGTTAATACCCTCAAGTGCAAATCATCACCCAGCGATTGTCCCTTACACATCTGTACACTGCACTGATGGTGATTGAGTTGTTACTTATATACAAGGGAAATAGTATCCGTGTTTCCCTGTGGCTTGTTGCACAGATTCTAGTTTGTCCTCGCGAAGACCAGGGCTTGAATCCTCACATGGGTACAATGTGTGTACAATGTGTGAAGCCCATTTATGGTGTTCCCTGCCTTGATATTACAAAAAGAGTCGAGAAGCCATACTCACTCACTGGCTATAGATCACCATGTAACACATGTTCGTCGAGGAGCATAGACCTCCATATTTAACACATGCATGGATCTTCACATTTCACACGTGCCTAGATCAACATGTGACACACATGCATGTATCTCATCGTTACGCACGTGCATCGATCACACCATTGCACACACGTATGCATAATCACATTATACATGTAACATACATCAGAATAGACAAACAACTTTACACACATGCTTTGCACATCATGTCACACAGATGATGGATCATCACGCCAATCACATGCAAAGGGCATCACTTTATTTAAGCATGTATTATCACTTTATACAAAAACATAGCTATAGAACGTGACATCACACAAATGCAAATGACATCTCGTTAAACAAATACAGAGATCTTTACGTTAATCATGTGCGTAGATCACCACACTACACAAGTGCATAGATCATTACCTTACGCAAATGTATAAATCATCCAGTTACGCAAGTGTCAAGATCATCGCGTTAAACAAAAGCATAGATATGCACGTGATGCAAATGCATAAATTAGCATGTTAGACACGTGAATCATCACGATACACACGTGCGTAGATCACGTAACAAACATACATATGACGGTATATGCATAAATCATTGCGTTAAACACATGACAGATCATCTCGTTACACATGTACTTAAATCTACGACCCGTGAAGATTCCGGGGTAGAATAGGTCTACAGCAACCCATACTTGCCGTGAAAGGCGACTATGCTTGTCGTAAAAGGCGACTAACGGGATCGGGTGGTCAGGCTCGCTGACTTGGTTGATACATGTCATCGATCCCAATTGCGTTGATCGTATTTTATGATATTAATCACTGGATTGTCTGGTCCAGACTCGATTATTTAGAGACCGCCGTCATATAGCTGGAATATTGCTGAGTGCGCGTTAAACAACAAACCAACCAACCAACTTAAATCTACATATTAATATACGGTACATGATTAACGTCAGTGAAATGTATAGATCATCACATTACATGTATAAATCATTACGTTATAATTACACACATGCATCGATCATCATGTAGCATAAATATCCAGAACATGACCTTACACATATGCAGATCACAGGAGAGTCTATAGGAGAGTCTATAGGAGAGTCTATAGGAGAGTCTATAGGAGAGTCTATAGGAGAGTCTATAGGAGAGTCAATAGAAGTACAAGAACGCAGTTAACAATTATCTGCTCCACCCCATGATTTTTACAATCAAACTAACACTTTGGTAGATGTAAACTACTGAGTGTCAGTAATGGTACAAGGCAGATACTCAGGCTGGTTCAGGTACACAACACTGGTCGCTTAAAGAGCATTGTCAGCTCGCATGCCGAGTTACACCAGTCACCGCGAGTCACAACAACACTATCACAGTGGGAGGAGAAACTACTGTTTGCCATGGTCGGTGCAAGGGAGACTACTCCGCCAGTTTCAGGTACACTACACTGAACAATACATGCCGGGTTCGGGCTACTCCTCTCACCGTTAGTTCAGTCAACACTGTCACAGGGTGTGTAGTAACTACTGATGGCCATGAACGGTGCAAGGGAGGCTACTCCGTCAGGTTCTGGTATACAACACTGGGCGCTCACAGTGCCATGACAACTCCTTGTTCTTCATTTCCCTGGCTACCACTTTGAAAACATCATCCGGGCAAAATACTTTGGTCCCCCATAGTGTGTTGGAACAATGAACGTGTATCGACACACAAAGCAAGGAGATACGCCAACAGTAGTGCTTGTCATACTCCAATTCCTTTATGGTCTGGTGATCAGTGACAGGCCACGATATTGCAGGTGGGCTACAGCTGACGACGTAGTAAAATCCGTCTTCAAAAGACTTTTAGAGATCCTCATGATTAAAAACGTATCAAAGGGATTCATGCATTATACTTTACAAGATGTTAACCTGTTAATGATTAGCCCAATATCAGAGAATATGCGATAATGTAAGAATTACAACTCACCCAGTTGCGACATAGGTTTTTAAATTATTTGCACTTGAGATTTTATTACTCCAACAAACATGATGCGTGTGGCAGGGATTACTGGAGGGCTGACAACACGACATTACTGCACACTTCAACCACTTGACAACTTAAGGAGTCTTACAGAGTGAAGAGTGCGTTGTACAATGGAGATTGCTCACCTCCTTACCACACTCCTTTGAAAAGAAATAGTTCCTTATGCGTTTTATGCTGTGGCGTGTGGGGTGTTCAGAAGAGGATTATGTGCTCTAGTGGACGGATCGAGTGCGGGGGTCGGTGCTTTGATCTCCAACCGCGTCATACCAAAAGACGTTAAATGATGGTCCTTGTTGTTACCATATCTGGCCAGCCCCATGCCCACGAAGACTAAACACACACACGCAGACAGACAGACAGACACGCATTGGCTATCACCGTAGGTCCTCGAGTTATGTCTGGGCACATGATCTATGTCAGATATTCAGATAACGTTTTGAGGGTAAAGACCAAACATATTTTTTATTTTCCTTATTTTCCCAACTACCCACCCGCATTGTTTACAGAAAAGTTGAAACCCATACACATGACTATGATGTAGGACATGGCGCGATTTTTATTTGTGAAAGCTGAATTGTGAATTTGGCAAGTAGCCTTGTATCAAATCAAAGACACATTCCATTGTTGAGCTTTGCGGCCATTTTACCATACACTAAACTGCTGATTAAGAGAAAGTACACATTGTTAGATTAACAGATTTTAATACCTTGACTAAAGAAATTGAATTTAGTTTGGAATCGAGTGCCAACAACACCCACCATTATCTGACCGTTAGTCCATTCATGTTTGAGAAAAATGATTTTTCATGAAACAGATGTAAGAATAACAGTGCAAAGAGGGTATCAAAGGAAAGTGTTTGGATACCAACACATCAATATAATAAAATCAGGCGAGAAAACACCCATAGTTATAAGCTGAACCCAGAGAGAGGGGTCGTGAAATGGCACTGATGGTGGCCATGCAGGTCTATATTTCAAGAGCACTCAGGTGCAGTGGACTGACCATTGCAATACTACATGTACTTCAGCGATGCAGCAGGCCACGATGTGGATGACTACATGTGACCTTCCCACATACAGCACATTGCTTCTGCACAAGCCGCATCTGAAGGCACACAGTGTCCAGACAATAACGTTTTGCAGGAATTTAGCCTACAGACAGAATGGCATGGACTCATCGACACTGTCGACAAAACGTCAGTCCTCAGGAACTGTGCAATGTTATTGATCAATGCTCATCTTATTCCATCCTGATGGTCTGCTAAAATCCTTTGAAATTGGAAGTGATGTCTATTTGCAGCCAGTTGTCATTCCGTTTTTTCAGGAGACAGACATAAGAAATACTATGTCCCAAATTGCTCAAATAATCCAGACGTTCTCAACATCACTACCGTACCCGTTATTCATTGAATGTCACAATAACCCAACCTTTTGCCAGTAGAACATCTTTGGATCATCTTTGATGACACATAAGACAGCCGAACGTGGCAAAAAAAGACTTAATCGTCTCAACTATAACTAACTCCTGGGTGAAACAAAACCATGCTATGAACACATATCTTTTCACAACTAACCTAGAGACGTACCTACCAGTAATGTTGCACACACTTAACCAGCACAAGTGATAAACCCAACATGGGTACATGCCTTGTTTGATGAAATGAAAACTAATATGACCTAATGCTATTGTAGCAAGTATATCCAAGATTGAACATAAAACCAATTCCCTTCCATTTATTTACTCACCTGTACCAGAAAAAAAGATACCAGTGAGACGGCCTCGTCTGTGTCATATGCATAGGTCTATGCAATACTGTATGACAAGAGGAATGACCTTTGCAATGGTCAACTTTCTCCTCATGTCGAGCAATATTCGTGCAGCTCCAGCGTTTGGTGTTCATTCTCTTTCTTCAAAGATTTCACGACACGACTCTTGCTCAGAAGTTTTACAACATTCATGGCCTCGGTAAAGCTTTCAAAGCGTTTCATGGCAGTACACGTTGAGGTCACTTCCTAATTTGACGCATGCTATTCTATACCTTGACTTGTACCAAATGTTCCTGAGGGTTTCTTTCAGGTGAACACTTGACTTATCATTTCTTATATTTCTAAACTCATAACAGTGCAGCAGGAACTCCACAGTTTCTTCGTGAGGATTGAAACTAACTTGCGGTCAGAGACAGGTGACGAACAAAGAAGATGAGATTCTTCGGGCACACATCCTTCCCAATATGCAACAAGCAAACGTCATTTCTAAAGACAAGCCCTTATCACATTTCACTGCCTTCCTTCTAGGGCTGCTTATGGAAGAGGCCATGGGCATGGTATCTGGTGTCCAGGAGGTCGAGATGGTCTCATTCTTTCATTCCTGCTGGCATAAGGGGGCACTGTCACTGCCAGGGTTGTTGTTCCTGGAATGTCTGTAACATTAGATCAGAATTTACTCATCCAGACTGAAACTGATGATGTTGTTGTTATCACTTATCTGAGGCGTAGGTTGACTGGTAGGTGGAAGTCTGGGTAATGGTATACCTCTTGAGTTGGATGATAGATCGAAAGTTAGTACAATGGGGTTGGGGTAGATTTATGACTGAAATGTGGTCCATAAAGGGTGTTGGGGGGTTCTTGTGTTCTCTGTTTCAACTGCTTGACCATCTGAGGCCACAGGAGTGCAGGTTTGGAAGGTGATGATGAGTTGTTTATTATATCTATTCTGTCCTCTATGAGTGTTATACGAGAGCCTATTATCCAATCAAAACAGTAATCTCAGTGTCTAAGGTGTGTAGCTTGGTTACAGAAAGCTTCTCTTCTAGGGCTCAGTGGTTCAATTTGGTGACGGATTCTTGCTTGGGTTTATCATTTCAAGTTCGTTTTCCATTTTATTATATTCTAAGGAATAGATTTTCAAATTTAGCTGCCCAATAACATTCAATTGCTTTAGACATGTTGTCTCTCTGAATAGAACTGTCTTTGATTAATTGCTCAGTTGTGATCATGTGATTTTCAAGGCGAGCTTCTTGTGCAGTAAAACATTATTTCAGTGAGTGAGAGCTGTCTCGTCCCTGTGCTCTTTCCGTTCAGAGTGTTTCTAGCATACATACTTCTAGAGAAACATTTGTAGTGATACCTTGTTGATTGTCAATTTTCTTTTTGAGCGCCTTTTGTCAGTATAGTGTAAAGCTAGTTTCACTAACTATATGTCCTTGGCACTCTGCCCCTGTTTGGAGACCTGTCAGCTCAACCACGGGTCTCTCGATGTTGGCCTGGTAGCACTGTCATAGCACATGCTGCAATTGTGATTCCTTAACAGTGACGATGTAGAAGTCCAGACGTTATTTTAATGGACATATATATGAGGTTAGTTTTTGCTTTTTTTCACAGAGTAATCCACTCAAACTTCTGCTGCAGATGTTAAATCTGACCCCTTAATCAGGGGAGATGATATTGTCATATCATTATTAAAACACTGATGGGAATGAGGGAGTATCTCGAGATATGGGCGTTTTCGTCTGTCTCTTGCATAACACACGGAACTCCCTTGTTTGGGCCAATACTGAATATCAATTGAAGATGTCTGTTGCCATGTTTAAATAGTACAAATCCATCAGACCCGGGGATGATTGTAAAGTTGACACCCCTTTATCTCGCCACTGCTAGTAAATGTAGGCTCATTCAAGGCTATATTAAGTTAAAAGGCAACCAATAGAAAACAAACAAGTTAGAAGTAAAATGAAAAATATGAATTCCGGAGCTTACATCTCTGGCGGGCTTAAGTGCTCGTAAACACCTGATATACAAGTCGCAAGACAACAACATTGCACCAACTGTGTGTGTGGAGATAGTAAATATCCTGCATTAGGAATAAACATTGTATTTAGCGAGCCTTGGCGAGCGCAAAACTTATATTTGTCACCAGCACAAGCAGATGTCGTCAGATTTTGTTCACACAATATTTGGTGGTCCTATACATGTTACATCACTGTTGGAAATTCCAGGATTCCTTCCGTTACTTTATCCATGAGCCAGTCACTACACATAGACGCATTGCTTCCTGTCACCAGTGATCGTCTGATGATAAATAGACAGTCCATATGCACCCGCCACAATTCCTTATTTTTCTTATAATAGTTCTTGTTTGATTGAATATTTTACAGTTTTGGCTCCTGTTGACATTCAGTGACACAAAAAAACTGACTCCTGACCTAGCCACTGCAGTTATCTTGGCCTCGTGTTTTGAATGTTCGAAATCCTACGTGAAGGCAATGTTTGACATCACGTTGTGTAGATAATATGTAACAATTATAAACACAGATTTATTTATAAATTTGCAGTGATTAAATGCAATTTCGAGTAACACTTATGTCATATATTATTTGGGTTTTTTTTGTAGAAAGGCATCTTTTTATCGGGCACTATTTCGAAATGCGCACTGCTTGAAGGGGATTCATTTTTGTTTCAAGCAGGGTGGGTATATCCATAGGAGACATTTGATCTAACAGTGTTGCCGTTTGGTCAGTGTAGTTGATATTAACTGGTTGCATTCGACAAACCTCAAACAAAGAAAAAGATAATAAGATCTAGAGAAAGTAACACACTCGCATGTACATTACTTATTGTCAATACATCATACATAATATTCCATATGATTCCAGCATCTGTGAATTATTAATGAGAGGTGCAGGTGAACGTCGCATGCACGACACTTCAGCCATCACAGTTAAGATTATGTTGGGTAGAAGTGACAGGCGGCCACTAAGGATTTGACCTTGGCCACATCAACAGTGTGACATCATACATTTGGCGCCACACCAGCTCGGGATCGGGCACCACATCATGGCGAATCACGGCTCAGTTTGAGGTCACAGAGTGCACCGAGATGTAAACAAATAATTTGTTGTCTCTTTGGCGATTATTTAAACGATAAACGACATACATATCACAGATTTATATTATTATAAACCACAGAAGCAACATGTCCTCCTTCACTGCCAAGACAATCATAACATTTCACTGACCGCCCCGTGACACAATGAGATCTACCACTTTCTAATATTTACATCACGTGACAAGGGAGCGGTTCCAAAACTTCCTCCACTTGCTGATGGGACAGCAGGAGTTCAACCACTTCTGGACGTCCCCAGAGTTTTGCCACGTCGGCTGCTGTCTGCCCCTTCTTGTTCTTGACGTTGATGTCTACTACATTCAGAGACAGGACAAACTCCACTGTCTCCACGTCTCCTCCCTGACAGGCGCAGTGAAGGATGTTGTTTCCGCCATCGTCCACAGGTGACACTAGGGCTCCTTCACTCACAAGGAAATCCACCACTTTTCTGTGTCCCTTCAGTGCTGCCCACATCATCGGTGTCCTGCTCTCCTCTCCTCTTATATTGATGTCCGCCATGGTGTGTGAGAGGACAAACTTTATCATCTCAAGGTCTTCTAGCAAACAGGCGCAGTGAAGGGTGCTGTTACCATACTCGTTCACCAGTGACACATCTGCTCCTTCACTAATGAGGAGCTCCACCACGTCTCTGCGTCCACACCGTGCTGCCCACATCAAGGGTGTCATCCCGACCCTGCCTCTACAATTGACATCAGCCCGACCTGCAGCCAGGATCTGCTTCACAGACGCCAAGTTGCCTGCCTTGCTTGCGTCACAGAGGTCGGAGTCTGCCCCGGGGTCTCTATGTGTGGGAGTTGGAGTCGCTGGAACACAAACAAAACTATGTACACGTGTCTGACATCTGTAATCTTAAAGGGGCATTGTTAAATCTAACAGTGATAGTATGAAACAGTTGATGCAGCATTTAAACAAACATAATAGCCGATAACAACATGGCGATTGTAAAGGGAATGACAAGAGATGGTTTTCTATTTTGAACAGATTTGGTGTTTACATGGTTAGAATGTCTCTATGTATATGTATGAAGAGTGAGTGAGTGAGTGAGTTGGGTTTAACGCAATTTTTAACAGTATTCCAGTTATATCATGGCGTGTCAGCTTGATGTGGGAGGAAAGCCCGAAGTGATGCAGGTCTCAGACGTTTACCACTTCGGTGAAACCCACGAGCACGGGTATGGTGCTGACAAACCTACAAACATAATTGGGGCGAACCGGGATTCGAACCCACAATCATAGGTTTCTGGCGTGCCCGAGGGACGCAACTCTGCACAGCGAATCGCGGCGCCTTAGACGACTGGGCCACCCGTGCCCCCTTATGTATGAAGAGTTTACCCTCTACAAAACATGTGACATTGTCTTAACCCACAGATGGGTGTATCAGATGTTCGTGTAGATACGATTCCAATTCCAAAGTGATTCCTTCAATTATTTGTGCCTTAGGGCTTGTAAAATGCTTATGTTGCAGAATTATAGAATAACCCACGAGGTACAAGTGATCACGGAAAATATGTCACGAGTGAAATTAATGTTATAGCTTTAGCTCAGAACTTACAATATTAATTTCACGAGTAACATATTTTCCGTAATCACTTGTGCCGACTGGGTTATTCTATTTATTTCCCATAATCATTTTTAAGACGTTTCAAGGAAAAAACTGTCGACGATCAAGAATCAGCTGTTTTGCATCAATCCGCGTGTGAAAAAACACTGTCCGCTCTCTCCAATCGCATTACACACTTACCGTGTTGTTACGTGTGAAAAATATAGTTCTGTTAAAAAAACTTAAAGATCACATTATTGCAGTTACATTTCTGTCTCATTTACACAGCGTACACTATCTAGCATTGATAAAGAAGACCAGTTTCTAAAAAGGTTCATCAGGTTTGTTCAAATCAAAGTTTGTTTTGACGCGATCTCGTCACTGACAGACAGCCCCTGTCGTGCATCGGCAGAGACGTGCATTTCACATTGAGAAGAGGAAACACGGAAAACTTGTTAATTTTGTTACGTGTCATTTGAAAAAAATGCCAAAACCTATAACAACAACATAGACGGAATGTACAGAAGTCTTGTTTGCTAGGGAAAAGTTACGCGAATAGTAGGTAAATTTTTAAAAGTACGATTGCCGTCACAGTGTCGGAATGAATGACCCGACTTGACACAGATATGAGACAGCCAAAACCAGGAATGACAACAGAACCGGCGTTACAGTTTAATCTGAACAACAAGTTTAATGAACATTGTGTGTGATTTGAGACATGTGTAACTGATTGAAAACATGTGCATGTGGGATTTTAGGAAGACTTGTCAAACACGCTTGTGGAGTGGACAAAACCGAGTGGATGACGGGAGTTAGTTAATGTTCTGATGTGATTCACAGGCTAATGGTCGAATAGCTGTTGACAGACCAACACGGTATCTGGAGACTTGGTGACAAGCTGTCCGCATTCACGAAGTTCATTTAGTTCAATATTGGACACAGGATTAGCTCGCTTGCGTAAGTTTTCTTTTCCTTGTATTTTTAATTATTTTTGTTTTCTTTTCATTCTTATACCATCGTTGAAAGTGTAAACTATTTTTTGTGTTTTTCTTAACTGTATAAATTTGTGAATTAAGTTCATGTCAACTTGTCAAGTTTAGTCTTTTTCATTGTGTTTTCATTTTCATTGGCAGATATCGATGTCATCATCGTTCACAAAGGTAAACATGTCTGTACTAGGTCCGGTTTTTGGATTCGGGGGGGGTCCTCTAACACAGATCCAAACCCGGACTTGGTATTGATCTTGGCGCACAAGACACAATTTCTGGCAACATCGCGATCTGAATCATGAAACCTCAATCTGGCCGTATGCAGTTTTGACAACAAAGACATTAAATGTGTTTAGAGGTTGAATTATACGAATAACTGTCCATGGCAGTCAGATCGACGTCCGCTTTAACAAGGTCATTTACTTTGACGGGTGTCAAATGGCCAGCCATGTTTGTTTACAAACGCAGACGTAGTTTTGGTTTTTACCTTAAAACGAAAATCATGTGAAATAAATGAAAAAAATAAATAATGTGAAATCATGTTGTTGATATGAAACTATGTTTCTTGTCTTAATTATCTCGAATCAGTGAGATTGTAGCACGTAAAACATCCAATTGAGTGGCGTGGATTTGTGAATGAATGGGATAAAAAAAAGATAGTCCCGTTGTCCACTGAAAATTAAACTTTGTTCAAATGACCAATCAGCTTCGAGAATCAGTAATTGCACACTGTGCAAATATCACAAAGATATGACACTGCCTATTTGAGCCCTTATCGGTAATAATCAGTGATACGCCTGGATTAAGGAGGAAGTGGGTAAAATCAGGAAAATATGCTGGTGCCATCTGTTGCCAACAAGATACATAAATGTTGTATGGTACCTCCACCCTGATGGTCTAATACATGTGTAAATGTTTCAGGGGCTGAAAATAACAAAACAAACACCCAATTGTATAACTGGTGTTTCATTCCTTCAAAAAAGATAAGAACGTGATCTGCAGACGACGGGAGGTCAAATTTTACACTTCACTGGCCTCATCAATCCCCCCCCCCCCCCCCCCGTCATCAACAAACACATCAAATGTTATATGACATTGTAAATTACCAGTATGTCCAGCTGCTACTGTATAACATCATTAAAACGTTGTACATATATCTGCTTCAGTAAGACTGCAATGATAAACAAAGTTAATAATCATCTTCCAGTGTGCGAAGGCTAAGATATTTTAATATTCTTGAGCACTGCAAAATTCACACATTTAGATATCATGAATCGACAGAAATTCCGCCTCGACGGCTCTCACGTGCAAAGTACCTGCTACATTGTATTAGTGCGGGATTTCACCGCCAAGGCTTTGTGGTTTCACCAATGTTTGTTAAAAATGTTCTTGAAGTTTGTAAAACTGCAGTTTATGTATTGTTCCCAAGTATTAAACTTTAGAAACAATCAGTGTTCTGTTTATGTATTGAATCTATTTAAATGGAACTACTTTTGTAAGGTGAATGGATATATAGACAAGAAGTCGCTAGAGGTCGGATGTGTACACGTACATGAAGGAACGTAACACATTGTTGATAAATTGTGGCAATAAGAGGTGAGTGTACCGTAACACTTCAAAAGAAAAAAAAAAATGATGAGTGAGTGAGTGAGTGAGTGAGTGAGTGAGCGAGCGAGTATGGTTTTACGCCGCTTTTAGCAATATTCCATCAATATCACGGCGGGGGACACCAGAAATGGGTTTCACACATTGTACCCTTGTCGGGAATCGAACCCGGGTCTTCGGCGTGACGAGCTAACGCTTTAACCACTGGACTACCCGACAGCCCCCTAGCTGCTGTGACATGCGTTGACAAGCAGCATTTACTGATAATCAGTTTTAGGACATGTCTTGGAATTCAGACATGCACCAGGAAGTCAAATTAAACCATGTTACCAAGTTTATTGAGATCTCATATCCCTCTGCTTAACACAGTTAACTCTCGCGGAAATTCGGTTGAGTATTATTTGGTTACAAAAGTAAATGAAAGTAAATAAATCTTAGGAAATATAGGTTGATAGGTAGGCTATATGTTGATAGTGATTATGATGGACTAATATTAACCGAGTATTTTGGCTACGAACACTGAGCATTGTCTTTGCTTGTAATGCCAACTATCTGTCCTCTGATCAGTGTTATTTTGTTACAACTAGCACTGTAGGCGAAGGTAGACCTTACTCTACAGATCTGCATATACATGCTAAAATAAGAGGACTACAAAACGTGTCACGGTGTTGTTTAATGGGCAACATTTACACCATGGCAAACGCTCAAAAGTTTCTTCCTAACGGTTGAGTTGGTCAGTACTAGTTGTACATACACTGTGAGTCCAAGGAAAACGTAGCTCTGACAACTGGAACATACTCTTCACATGTTCATGCGTCAGTTGGTCGCTACTCACTCCCTGGACAATGTATCTCATGTATAAGACGTATAAGACATTATAGAAGCGGGATCGAGTGGTCAGGCTGTTCGCTGTATGTCATCGTATCCCAATTTGATAGATCAATACTTATAATATTCAGTCAATGGATTGTGTGGTCCAGATTCGACTATTTACAGACCCCCGTCATGTAGCTTGAATATTGTATGTGTTTGAATAAATATTGATGAGAAAAATGTCACAATAACGTTATTTTATTTAGATCCATATAAATTGATATAGATATATGTCAATAGATTTTAATACAAATTCTGAGAGTAATGTCAATCATATATAAACATGTGAACAAATGGTGTATCTTTCATTATTTTTAATGTGTCTTATGTGGGATGGATTTTAGATTTATGGTGAAACATTCAAATGCAGGTAAATGGATGTAAAAGTCGTACATCAAACTTGTTTTTTTAGATTATATCACAGGATGTGAGAAATATACTATATCCCGCATGCCAGTTCTTTAGGGATTACCCCTGCCTACCCTGTTGCTGAGCTACAGGTGTCGGACAGGTGAGGGGACCTGTAAACGGAAGGTTCTCGGGTACCTCCAAATGCCACAAACATGCTATCTTTGATAAGTAATGTCACAGTCCCTGAACTTTCGTATTTTCCCTTCCGCCCAGCCCTTGCGGTACTGATATAGCCCTGAATGAAACAAGCCGACATTTTCCACATGTTCAGGCAGAAATTTCCATCTCTCTGGAGTTACTTTCAATTTTAATGCATTTACTTGTTTCTATTAAAATAATATATTTCCGGGGACTAAACATTAATCTAACTGTGGAGCACAAATTGTCCAAAATATATCCTGCAAGCCTATAATTTCAAGTCCAGACTCTACAGGTTCATTCCGATTATATATCAAAAGCCAGTTGAGATTAATTTCAATTCAAAAACTCAATGTTCTTATATATGTTTCAACACTGGTGGATAGGTTTCGAGTACATGTCACCGTAGATCCTCTGATATTATTTTAAGCAATACACATATACTGATTAATTAAAGTAGAACGACAACACATAAAATATTACTTCATGTTACAAGAGGTTACTAATTTTCTCTTTTTGTTTGGTTTCTTTGTTTTCTAACATCACAATCAGCAATATTCCACCTATATGACGCAATTCCATCCTAGGTTTTTCCACACAACTGCGCACAATCTCCTAAATCTATTTCCCTGTTCATAATTATCTCTTTCCATTACAATATCGCAAGCAATTAAATAATACTTTCTTATCTTAAGTGAGAGTTTGTCAATGGTTTCAAAAACTCCAAACAGGGAACATTTGTTTTCCTGATACATATATCAGATGTACTGCTTTGAATCCTTGGTACCCTTGATCTCACATTTTTTTAGATCGGCAGTTCATTTGCATGGAATTTTGGCATGCAGCCATTAAATTGAATGCACTTTGACCAGTGTTACCTTTCATCTGTAGTGTGATCTCAATTCTTTTGACCCTCTCAGTGGTTGCCTTCAGTTCTTGCTTTAGGTCTGCCAGTTGTCTTGTCAGATCAGTCACAGATCCAGACGTTTGCTGAAAGAAATGAAATTTAACATGGTAAAATGGGTGAACTAAATGAGATATAAGGTGTTATTTTGATAACACTGTTACTCAGTATAAAGATATTTCCTTTTTATATAGGTTTATTATATTTGTTTCAGCTGAAATAAATATATAATGAAATTGTTGGATGTAAAGTGACGAAATATTTGAGTATCTAAAACAATTAGGACATTTGAACCTGGTACCTATGTCGCATGCTTTTCTCAAGGTAGTAACCTCTTTACAATACAGCAAAGAAAAACGCCTTACACCACAGTGATCACTAATGCAGACAGCAGGATTGATTTGTTCGCTAAAACTATTAATTATCTGATTAAACATTCAAGCTCGTGTCAGTGCATGTTGCCAACTGTCTCATTGCCTGTGTACATCACATTGTCAACATTTCCCTAATGAATGTTTGAACCTGAGTACTGATCTGACTAAGGAGTTGCTGAACGACAACAAACAACATGATCTTAGTGAAAAGATATATTCAAACAAAACACATGAACTGTACCTGCGCCTTACTGACACATCCTACGTGTCCATATCCTCTTTTAGTTTCTGGTGTTGACAGATCTATAATTCAAAGAAATCAATTAACAAAAGCGACAAACCTTTCCATATTCATAAGAAATGCCGATTTAATGATTCCAATTATATCATGAGCATGATTTTATGGATCACTCTCGACTCAGAACTTCACATACTCTCCGAGGAGAGAGAAACTGTATATCCATATTCTCTTCGTTTGTGGCGAATCTCTTATACAAGACATGTATGACCGAATGTGCCAAAAAGTACTGAAGTCATTGTCATTTGTTCAGACAATCCAAATACTCCTTACCGGTTCACTTTACTGTTGTGGTGAATGATGAGACCTTGTCATTTCACGAAGTTGAAACTATGGACTTTCTCAAAGTGCAGCATTTCACCCTAATAGGATCATGTATGGAACGGGTCTCCAATGGGGAGACATCAGCATGTCCTTAGTATCAATGTAGATGCAACTCAGACTTGGAGTATAGTTTGGAGTCCATTGATACTATTTATATATAAAGAGCTTTATGTGTCAATGCAGCCAATATTTAACCAATACCAAAACAAATGTTATCATTGATATGTGATGTTGATTCAACGTCGACATTTCAAATTCCAAATCCAACATAAAAAACAATGTCACAACATTGTTTCAACATTGATTCAAAATTGACCTGCCCCCTGGGATAAGATGAACATACAATTTCATCTTTATGTTTTAATCAACAGATTCAGTTTTAAAAGGGAAACAGGGAATGACATAAGACTAATAATACTTATTGTGGTATTTCATATTTCGGTATGGATATAGGTCCCTAGCACCATATGTTTGACTTAGGATATGACCACATGAATCAGATGTTCATTATCTTAGTTTGTTGCATGTCATCGTATCCTAAATGAGTGGAATCGATGCTAATGATGTGAATTATTCCATATTTCGTACATGATAATCTCTATAATATTACCTCCCTCAGCCTGAAAGTCTTCATCACCTACAAATTTGTTTGTATTTGTTGTATCTGTTGCTGTATCTGAAAATATGCCGAGTTTAAAGTGTGACTAAAACTCAATGTTGTGTTAGATCAGAGACAATAAATATTTGCCCACTAGATACTGGAGACACACAAACGTCAAAAGGGAAAAACATCAATGGAAAGAAATTGGAGTGTTATCAAATCATACATATTCTATTAATATTCCCGAGTTTGGTCCTTAACATCCTTTGAGTTGTATATTACTCTAATAGTCAATTATTTTTTTCATTTCAAGTAGACCCATGAAGATCCGGGGTAGAATAGGTCTTCAGCAACCCATACTTGCCGTAAAAGGCGACTCGGGTGTCGTAAGAGGCGACTAACGGGATCGGGTGGTCAGGCTTGCTGACTTGGTTGATGCATGTCATCGTATCCGAATTGCGTGGATCGATGCTCATGATGCAATCACTAGATTGTCTGGTCCAGACTCGAGTATAGTCATATAGCCGAAATATTGTTGAGTGCAAACAAACATTTAAAGTAAACAGTCCACAGTCCAAATGATGTGCTCTGCAGTTTTGGAAGTGCTGTAGGAACTGAATGGTGCTGAGCGCTCAATTTGACATATCATGCCAGTACATTACAGGTGTCTTTGACGTATTTGATTATGTACACTTTTGAGAGGTAAAGATGCCATTTCAATAAACATGAACAACTTATATGTAAAGTTATCGCCATGGATTACTTTTGGGTGTGAGCATCTCACACACATCGTTAACATTTTACATCCACTAAATATAACGTTCGTTGGAACATGCAGACAATTGTTGTTAAACATGTTGCATTATCAGTAATCTCATTAAACAATGCCGGCACCTGAAACCAAGTTAATGCAGATATTTCAATAGTACATGTATCAACTCGCCATCAAACATTCATTGCACTGATGCGGCCCGTCTGTCGAACAAAAATAACGGCTTTTATGTTGAATTTAGTAGTTCCAGTTTCGTTTATGATTATTGTGATAGCTATTGTACTGATAATACTACCAATATTTGGATTCTATTTCAAACTGATCCTAGGTTGTGAATCAGTGTTCCATATAGTGAAAAGAGTTGTCTCCCTTTCTATGAGTTTCAGAAGTCGATTGTGTTTCACAAAATTAATTCCGATTATGAACATTATTTTTTTCTGTTTAATAGTGACATGCAAATGGACTCCTTCATTAGGGGCTATGGAAGCTCGAAGTATATCAATTAATACAGATTTACCCTGTGAGCTTTATCTTTCCTACAGAAGCTAACGTAGTTGGTCTTGACACTGGAAGTGACAATCCATCGACGTAAACACTTCAATCTGACTCAAACGTAATTCACAAAACTTCAAAGGCATGCACATGTTAAAATGCAATAAATTCGAAACGTCAAAGCTTTTCTTGTTGTTTACCACCACATTCAGCAATATTGCTGTTACCTGACGAGGCTTTCAAATAATATGTTCTGGACAAGCATGTTTGAACAGTTGAACATGGTCATAGATTCTACTCACAGCTTTCCGAGTGTTGGGGAAAATCTGGTCTCATTTCCATCAACATCGGTGAGTCTGAAAACAACCAAAGAAAAATTTGCGAGTCAACACCGTACGCTCTAGCATTAATACACGATGCTTTTCAGAAGGTAGTCAAATGTAACAATGAAGAAAGACACAGGTGATTTCTTTATACAAATTATGAATATGTTAACAAAATTTGATAAAGCGTTCTCTTAGCGTTTGGTATTTTATTGACAGCTGAAACATATTTTTGGTGAATTGGCACGAAAAAAGCATGGAATACAATCTCCCTGGACATTGTGAGCTTGGACTTCGTGCACGGACTCTGTATGCATAGATTCAGAGGTGGGCAACCATGTCCAACACCATAACAACCATTTTGGTGCACGTGCAATGCAATATGACACAATAACTTCCCCGAGACGAACTTCTCGAACCATCACCTGCTTCCCCCTGATCCGCCCTTAATGAGAGCTTGTTCTGCAAGAAAACGCCCGAGCACATGTTGCAGGTGTCACTATGGGGTAACAGTATTCCAGTTATATTGCCGCGTGTCAGCTTAATGTGGGAGGAATGCCCGAAGTGATGCAGGTCTCAGACGTTTACCACTTCGGTGAAACCCACGAGCACGGGTATGATGCTGACAAACCTAGAAACATAATTGGGGCGAGCCAGGATTCGACAATCAAAGGGTTCTGGCGTGCCCAAGGGACGCAACTCTGCAAAGCGAGTCGAGGGCCTGAGATGACTTGGCCGCCCGTGGCCCCGGAGTCACTACTGATTTCCTGCTGAAGCAGAAAAAATACTGTGCTTACGTGACCTTCAAAATTACCCTATTTAAACCAAATTGAACATCTATGGGATGAACTCGAACCCTGTGTCCAACAACGTCAACCACCGCCTCAAACGCTTCCGCAGCTTTGGCAGGCATTGCAGGATAAATTGGCCCGAATGCCACAGGATCGAATTCTGTTAATTGGTAGGCGTTGCAGAACAGGCCAATGGTGATGATAACTGCCGTATCACACTGTCTTTTTAAACAGTTGAACATGGTCACAGATTTTACTCACATAGTTCATAGCTTTCCGAGGGTTGGGGAAATTCAGGTCTCATTCTCATCGGCATCGGCGAGTCTGAAAACAACCAAGAAGCAGTTGAGGGTCAACACCACATTAATCCACAAAGTCTTTCAGTAAATGGTCAAATGTAGCAAATTTTATACTCTCTCCCGACCGTACCTAGAGTGAAAGAAACTAAGAAATACACATCCAAACAATTGAAGTATCAAAGTATCGACTCGATCCATGTCTCGGCTCACAGTGACGGGTCTATGGCAATCTATGAGTTTACCTCAGTGTCTAATTGAAACATCTTGAATCACCTTTCAATGATCGACCAGTTGATCAATGATGACTAAAACATTATCCTCAAGAGGTTCATTAAGAACTTCCGAAATCTCTGCCGTCACGTTTATTGTTCGGGACATTTCGACGTCTTGATGTGTGACTGACCTACTGAGGTAGTTTTTAACGGACATTTCCCATCTGAGGAGGGTATTATTTGAATTTATTTGTTGTAAAGAAACTACATAAGTTGTTTCCGTAGAGCATGTCCGGGACTCAACCCAATAAAGTGCGAATATCTGTACTTTACAAAGACAGTGTTATCCTAAATATACCATTTGTGACGTTCATACAGTTTGGAGCGCACTCTATGAAGGTTCATACTCCAATGATCTCACACAAAGTGAAAGTCTATTCTCAAATGTATCTCACATTGTAAACCGATAGTTTGTGTGCTCCGCAATTTGATTGGTCAGCCTTCCTCGTCGATTATCATTCTATTTCCACAAATCCACATGAGCCTTTCTATTTCTCAAGACAAACCAAATTCTCTGAAGGTAGATTTTCCCAGCCAGAGTTCAATCTGAGAACCTATGAGGAAGTTTTCGGTTTGGGCATGGAGGATGCTGGAAGAATTCCTGAATGAAAATGGCAAGTATTAAATGAGTAAATGACGTCTCTGTCAAGCCGAAGTTTACATTAAAAAAATGATGTGTTTTACTAGGCTAGTTGAACTGTCGTCATATTGAACAATTATTAAATTTATTGAATTCTGGCTTGGAAAAAGTACCTTCAGGCATTGGCTTGTCTTGAGAAATAGTACCGTTTATTTATGTATACGCGGATAAAAAGCTTTTCGAATTATGTATTATCGAATGAAAATCGAGGGGATAGGCTGACCAATCAGATTGCAGAACACACTAACGATTGGTTTACAAGTCCAATGTGCACACAATCACACACACACACACACACACACACACACACACACACACACACACACACACACACATATATATATATATATATATGCAACAATTGTTGCTCGTTAGTTGTATTCTCGGAATCGGAATGAGTACTGCACGTCTCCTGGTTCATCAGGACAACGCAGTTTCATAGTGTTGCATCTCACTGATTTCCCCTCTCACAAGGTTTGGTTGGAAATACGTTTAAAAAAGAGTTGAACCCATCTCACACATTCACATATTTACATTTAATATCTCATATTAATAAACGCTGAGGCAACTTCGTTGAGCTTGAAGAAAGCAAACTTACCCTCAAATTTGCTTTTCGATGTGGCTTCTTCTGAAGAAGAACTTGCGAATTCCGCCATCCTTTTCTCTTCTGCTTGCCTCTGTAATGAAAAACCTTACGTCACAGCATTGGCCAAACCTTGACGTAGCATCCAATTGTAAAATATCAAAGCATCTGCTTTAGTGACAATAAGAACAACGGACATCCACCTCAAAGTGTCACAAATAAAAAAAGAAAATCTGACGTCAAAGAAATAGGATACAAATGAATCCAGTACTGATTGACTTGGTATCAGCATACCTGTGTATCGATATCTTCAAATCACAACTTATCACCGGCTTGTGTTGTCACTGAGACCCGGTAGACGTTGTTTTTGCTATGGACAACTACGTTTCTGTACTGAAACTGTGTCTTCAACCAGAGTGACGTATTTTCAAGTTCGTTTAAGCATGTTTTTTGGTATTGAAAATGAACTTGAAAAAAATTGTTTCACATTCACATTCATATGTGTGTATGAATCACAATCAAGCAGTGATGATGCTAGCGTAGGTGTTCGCAGAAAGGTGTACCAAGTTCTTGACAAGAAATATAATGGTCATGTGAGTGAGTGAGTGAGTTTGGTTTAACGCCGTTTTAACAGTATTCCAGTTATAACACGGCGTGTCAGCTTAATGTGGGAGGAAAGCCCGAAGTGATGGAGGTCTCAGACGTTTACCACTTCGGTGAAACCCACGAGCATGGGTATGGTGCTGACAAACATAATCGGGGCGAGCCGGGATTCGAACCCACAATCATAGGTTTCTGGCGTGCCCAAGGGATGCAATTCTGCACAGCGAATCGCGGCGCCTTAGACGACTGGGCCACCCGTGCCTCCCATAATGGTCATGTAATGAGAGTAATAATCACATTTTATAGTACAATACACTATTTACATTTCACATATGCACAAGCACTAACACACAAACTCAAACACACACACAAGACACACACGCAAAAAACGTACCACGCACACACACTAAAAAAACACACAGCACAAACATACACCCACAAACACATACATAAGGAGAAGGACGAATAACTAACATAGCATTTACAAGTGTCATTCAATGTATATAGAGAGCATGTTTACAGTCACTGTTTTTCATTTTCCTAATGTTGTTTTTAATCGGACATTTCCCAGTGTTCGTTTTCGCTCTTTCCTTGAGAGATAGAAAGACACTGTACTCCAGTGCACCAGCAACACACTGCTCTCTCACCTTAGCTGCTGCCTAAAATAGTCCCAATTGGTGATTGGTCAGATCAGAAACCCAGCTGTAGTTCTGAGAAGAGCTTCTTGGCTCTAAAAGGTTTTGATATGAAAGTATCTTTTACGTTCATCAGCAGATTGGCGATTCACCTCAGCTCATTCAGTTTCAAATTTCTTAGCAAAAAAGTTTTACTCCTGCTCTTACTACAAACCCATATCCAATAATCGAATGACTGTTATTTTATTTGTTTTAAATAGTATGTTTCAATGTATGCAAGACATATGCTTACTTCAAACCGAGACGATAACGCCAATGCTACCACGGTTACTGAATAACATATTGCAACTCGCCGGGTAAAGGAGTGCGTTCAAGCCAAACTTTCCTCAACATAGATACGCTTCACTCTGCTGTGTCCCCTTCACTGACCTTTCCGTTGTCTTGGTCTTATGAGATTTTTCTGTCATTGTTTCATATGTGTCTGACTGCTATTGCTATTAGCACTCGGACAATTGCAATGTATCGACAGTTTAAGCAATAGTTACTGTCCTATGGTAGGTGAAATAGTCGGATGTCAATGTAATAATGACATACTACGCATCCTGTAACACGGCCACAGGTAAGGATGTGTGTGTATGCTCTGCACGTTCATGCATCAACAGTCAGCTTTCAGTGTAACCTAATTTTCTCCAGTAGATTTTAGGTCGCCCTGACACAGGTTAGGACAGCTGACAAACCCTGTTCTAGTTTGTCAAGATAGCTGTGCAAGATAATAGTTATCAGATATTGCTGGTGATGACATCAGACACACAATAACAACGTACCTCAATATCAGCGTCAGTCCGGCTGCAACTCAGGTAACCTCCCCGCTGTGGTGTGTGATGCACGTCTCAGCCTGATCCTGCTTAAATATGGCCAGAGTTTATGTTTATTACTTGTGCACAGGGTGTTTCCCTCAACATGTTATGCTGGCCATTGTGTCTCGTGTGCGGGGTCCTGTGTTTAATGCCTGAGTGAAGTACAGTTATGTATGACGTGTGTGATACTGGCTGCAAGGTGAGATGTTGGCAGACAACATTCATAAGTAATCATCATGACTGATTATCAGACAGCTGAAGAAATACACAAGAGCACACACACCACACACACCCACCACAAACACACACATTGTAGGGCTATGTACAAAGGGAGACAACAACAGTTGTCATGGTGTAGCCCTCACGATGTGTCAAACACACTCCTACGTCCGTCCTGATTTTGAAGGAATAACTAACGTAACATGGTGTCAGAAGTGGGATTGTGTCAAACCAGGACCTAACGGACATCATACGGTAGTGAAACATTTGTGCCAAAAACTTTATTTTGATCTCAAAACGAACCGTTTCAATATTTCAAGTTGCTTGCCAATCATCGTCCTTCAGCACACTCAAGTATTTTACAAGACATAACACAAAGTGAACAGTTGTCCTTGAGTTTGCCTTATGTGGATCGCCTCTCTCGCATTCACTGGCTCACGTTTTGCACGCTTTTCTCGCTAGACTTCCAACATTGTTTACAACTCGTCTCACTCGTCGTTTGGCGGTCTCTTTGAAGTGCTCTCTCACAACGAACATTGTGTAGACTGTTAACTTGTGTTGTTTTGAGTTATAATGAATAATTTGAAATAAGCTTGTAATATAATGCGATTGTTTCAAAATAGGACTCAGAAACCATAATTGAAACACTGTTTGAAGATCAATGTACACAATGTTCCAAACATTAATAGTGTCACCTAGACATACACACGGCCAAGGTAATGTTTGGATGTTGTTGTGCTGTAAGAAGTCCTGACAAGCACGTGCAATATGCGGTCGAGCGTTGTCCTGCTGGAACTGTCCGCCATGAACGTTGACGTGGGGAAGAACGTAAGGCTGTAGGATCAAGTCTCTGTAACGCACACCTGTCAATGCACCTGTCACATGAACGAGAGGCGTCCTACCACCGTGATGAATATAAAGTGGGCCCACATTTGTTGAAAATGAATATTTACGAGCCATTTATTCCATTGGCAAGCACCGTTTTTAATTTAATTTTCTGCAAGTTACAGATGGAAAGAAAACTATATAATGTCTTCAACCATTTAATAAAGAATACGGTTTGCCTTTGGGATTAGATGGCCAATTAATAACGACAACGTTCAGGGTGACTGAGGCCATTTGTCACAAACAAGAAAACAACGGAGATAGCCCCCGATCGAAATTAGAGTGACCCATCTTTCCCAATGTGAACCATGTGGATCTTTCGTCATTAATTCTACTTTGCAAGGAGCCAAACAGTTTATCATTTGCAACTGAATAAATGATGTCATCAATACAGCCTCATATCAACACAAAGGAAAATCAGTGTCATGCTCTTCCAAGTTTCCTAATTGTAGAATAAATATTTAAATGTTTTGATTTTTCAAGCGTATCAAGAAACGGTACGCACGCCAATCACTAACTACTATGGACTGCAAACAGAAGGACGAGGTTACAGGATCTGAAATGTCACCAACAAAGACATCCACTTAAACGTATCATCATTGCCTTTCACTTATTATTCAAAAAAATAAATGTATTTACAAATATGAAACAAATAACTAAATTTCTACAAAAATTCCAACTCTGCAAGAATGAACATAATGGACAACAGTTAGATTTCCGTCTTTAAGTCCAATATACCTCTTGGGGAGAATATTATTTATGCAAATGTTTGAAAAATAACCCGATAAAAATCCCAATGACACACAAGATATGATGTAATCACAAGGAGAAACACAAATGATGAAATACAGCTCCCCTCAGGGTGGCACAGTCATTGAGGAAGATGCTCACTCAATGCATTTTTAGAGAATGTGGGGTGAGGTAAATTTGGGTTTAACGTCGCGTCCACGATTATGCATGGACGCGTGTGTGTGTGTGTATGTGTTGCTGCTTGTACTAGTCCGGACTGATGCTGATTTATGGTGCTAGCACACAAAGATATACCATGCCGCAGTTTAATACCCCACTCAGACACAGTATACTTTCTCCGAGACGCCCAGTCCTTGTTTTAGACCTTTAATGCCGAGCGCCAGACATGCTAACAACAAGTACCAGTTTTTTGGTATGACGCGGCCGGGGGTCGAACCCCGGATCTTCCGTTCTCCTGGCGGACACTCTACCACTAGACTACATTAGAGAATGTAAGAGTATAACTGACCGCCTCCGTGGTCTAGTTGTTCAGCGTTCGATCCCCGGCCGCGTCATACCAAAAGACGTTAAAAGATGGTCAGGTTGTTAACCTGTCTGGCGCTCGGCATTAAAGGGCTAAAACAAGGACTGGTCGGCTCGGAGTCAGTATACTGGGTCTGAGTGGGTTATTCATGTTAAACTGCGAAATGGTATCTCAGTGAGCTAGCACTATAAATCGGCATCAGTCCGGACTAGTACAAGCAGCCACACACACACATACACGTGCATGCATGTCGCTATATAAGTGCAATAATCTTGGACGCGACGTTAAACCCCATTTCACCTCACCTCACCTAAGAGTATAACTTTACACTTTCAGCTTCATTGGTCCAGTGGTTTCTGAGGAGATGTAGTTCACAGGACAAGGCTGTTCATAAAGAATTACGATCATAAGTGAAATATAGGTAAAAATATACTGAACCGCAACAGAAACGTCACCCCAAGTAACATTGAATGAAAAGTTTTCATTTAAATATCTGGGTAATTTGTGTCAATGTTTCTAAAATTTAACATTCCCTTGTCCGGAAAAATGAAATTAGATGATCAAAACAAAAAGCAGATGCCAATAAAACCGATCGCCCAAACCATCACGGCAAGGGCCATGGTAGAACGATGCACGTGAGTTCAAATTGAAATGCACATGCGTTCCCCCATTTTTTGCCCTATAAAAATCCACCCAGATTTGATAACATTCATTCGTTATTGAATTGCTACCACATGCCAAGATTGACAGGGCACCAAGCCCTTGAACGATTGCAAGCTGGAGAAACCACCCAGCAAGTAGCCAATGCATTTCAAGACCATGTATGGACCATATACAGGCGCCATTAACGGTATCAGACCACCAACACTACATATGACCGACCACGTAGTGGAAGACCAAGGGTCACCACCTGACGTCAGGATCGTCAGATTGTGCGACAGCCATGTATTTCAAAATGATCTGATTGATGACCTTGAAAAGTACTGTAAGACATTGCTGTTGTATAAATATATTTTATTCTAAGTGTGAATAGCTGTTTCAGCAGTCGATGTGCCAAATCTTATCAAACGCCCAAATACGGTAAAATACAGGTTGTAATTGTCTGAAATACGCCATACATTCTTGCAGGGTAACGGCTGCAAACTGGAGCGCCAGTTCTCTTCCGAAATCCGAACTGTAGGCCATCGGGGAATATAATGTTAAGGTTGCCCCAACTCTGTATGGTTACCTTTTCCGTCAATGTTCCTACAGTTTTTGCGGTTGCATTTGTCTTGTCCATGTTTTCACACTGCAAAAGTGACACCAGTTCTGTAAGGTCATGGAGAATACTTGTGTTTTATTTTGGGGAGAAAGGGAATCACAAGATGTCCACACAACTAGCTCATACTGCTTCAATAATTCTCAACCATCTCACTCATCCACTATCGTACTCCTTCTTCCCCATTGATAATCTGTTACATTATCTGATAAAAAGCATACATAATAAACATAATATGACAGCATTCAAGCACAATGCAAATATATCAATGCAAATATATACATACGGAACTGAAGTTCGCTTGTAGCTGCATGTAGCCTCAGCACATGTACAGTTCACGTGTATACACATGTTCACGTGCCTCGAACAACAGCTCACCTCTATATGACACGTGTCTCACATGACACTTTGTCACATTGCCGGCTCTCTCAAAAGGTAACCATCCCCCGTGCCTTGGCAGCGAGCTACGTCCGCACGTCTTGTTAGGAGTCCCGTGCCGGTCCCGGTTTTCTGACACGACACAACCAAAGAAACATTACTGATGTCTGATACCATTCAAGTACCCATATGTACCAAACTAGAATGTCTTTACATACACAATGGAGTAACTTACATCCGGTTAGCTGATGTTATTTTATTAAAAAGACAAAGTTTTTCAACATGCAGAGAGTATAATATCTAGCTTCAACCAACTCCAATGACGATATTATTACATACCAATGAGTCAAACTTTGCTAAAAAGACCTTGTCAACTGTACTGACCCAAACTAACTGCAGGTAGACTTTGCAAGCCCAGAATCACATGTATAGGAACATGAAACTACATGTCGTAGTGTACACTTATAAAGTGATGTTTACATACCATTTGACAGGACGTACTACATTGGCGCCGAAACGAAGTTCATATGTCTTACTTACTGACGAATAGACTGACAAATTCATAATATATACACAATTACATACCTTCAAAATATAAAACGCCATACTTTATATGTTCACAAATGACTCAATATGACATAATACGCCCAAACAATATAATCAATAAAAATATAACTCTCAAGCCACAAAAGCTAGGGACATCACTCACAGTCCAACCTGGTCAACGTTTCTTCAGAATTAAGATAAAGATTGCCCAAATGCATGAAAGTTACATGTACATGTGTAGCAAAGCATGCACGCCTATCCACTCAAATCAACCAGCTTACATAACTTTACTCTGATAATCACTTACATGGTGATATATAGCCTGCAACTATCGTACGGAATAGCCCTGAGTTAACCACTTCAAGGTTGCATGATCAGAAAGCACATTACAACTGTTACTTTTCCGCTCTGATAGGCGATGCTCTGATTGATCGGATGTCATCAGGTCTTTGTTTAGCATTAGCAAGAACAAGTGAGTGAGTGAGTGAGTATGGTTTTTACGCTGCTTTTAGCAAAATTCCAGCAATATCACGGCGGGGGACAAGCAAGAACTAAGATTTGATTATAATGAGAATGGAATACGCAAAATTAAGCAAATCAACCACAAACCACTGTGTCAGAGCCATAACAGCCACATGCTTTTTACTTGCTGATGTCCAATGCCGTAGGAGGCACGGGTGGCCGAGTGGTCGAAGGCGCCGCGATTCGCTGTGCAGAGTTGCGTCCCTTGGGTGATTGTGGGTTCGAATCCCGGTTCGCCCCGATTATGTTTCTAGGTTTGTCAGCACCAAACCTGTGCTCGTGGGTTTCACCGAAGTGGTAAACGACCTGCATCACTTCGGACTGTCCTCCCACTTTAAGCTGACACGCCTCGATATAAGTGGAATACTGTTAAAAGCGGCGTTAAGCCTAACGCACTCACTCCCTCACTCAATGCCGTAACATCATGCACATGCACGCACATGCTTAAAAAATGCCCTTTTCACACTTCAGGGAGATTCCATTTGCAATTTTCGTTTTACCAGCGGGCGCATTCCCAGGATGTCCACAAGTTACTGTTGAAGAGCTTTATAGATCGGGGTTGTCGTCTAGCTTCATGTGATTTGACAATAGCACGAAGACTGTCAAAAACTGCTTTTGCAGCCATTGACTTTAGTAGGTCCAGCCACGTCAATGTTCGTCCATTTTGAATTTGTATTACTGTTACTGGGGGTTATTTGATACAGGAGTAGAATTACTAAATATCTAAACTACTGTTCTTTAATAAAGTTTGCCGAGAAGTAAATGTATTCAGTATTTTATGTCACTATTTCTCCATCCCTGGTTCCCACAGAGGAATATACCCCAGATTTGTAGATTGGATAAAATAGGAAGTGTGAAACGACAGAAGGACGATCTCAATTTCAAACTACACAAGGTTTATCTCAAAATTCAATGAACCATAACACCTTATATGTTAAAACCACATTTTGATCAATGTTATTTAAAAGATATTCAAGAACGTTCTGCTGTGGGAACGACTGCATCATGTGTTCCGTTGTCTTGTGTACCTGCATCTCGCGATCTGGCGACTCGGGTAATGAAATGCATGTCCAAGGGCAAGCTTACAATTCCTATGTCTCGAGCAAATCAACCACTGAAATATTTCTTGTCCAAATTGATGGATCTTTATGAGGCAAACACAACCCTGGTCACGATAAGAGTCATTATCATTCTATCTGTTTCGTCGAATGAAAATCTACCAAATCACACGTACCTGCAATGCATAGAAATGCATAAAATACACCTCATAAAATACATATTTCCCTGAAAATAAACGGATGAAAAATCACAAAACACCTATTTCCCCATATATAAACGGATAAACTATTGGTGCTCATTAAATTAATATTTTGTTAGAAATAAATCTCCTTCATGCCACCGTGGCAGAAAACGACATTCGTCAACCTTTTGTGCGGAGTTTGTTGGTTCAGGTTCAAGCCGTTGACATATTTCTATCATTAAGGAAAATGAAGGTGATCTACTAGGTTGATCTCATGTAACGATTCAACGAGGTTGGTCACACGTAAAGATACATCGAGGTTGATCTCATGTAACGTTTAACGAGGTTGGTCACACGTGAAGATACATCGAGGTTGATCTCAGGTAACGAATCAACGAGGTTGGTCACACGTGAAGATACAATGAGGTTTATCTCACGTAACGATACATCGAGGTTGGTCACACGTGAAGATACATCGAGGTTGGTCACACGTGAAGATACATCGAGGTTGGTCACAGGTGAAGATACATCGAAGATACATCGAGGTTGGTCACACGTGAAGATACATCGAGGTTGGTCACGTGAAGATACATCGAGGTTGGTCACACGTGAAGATACATCGAAGATACATCGATGTTGGTCACACGTGAAGATACATCGAGGTTAGTCACACGTGAAGATACATCGAAGATACATCGAGGTTTGTCACACGTGAAGATACATCGATGTTGGTCACACGTGAAGATACATCGAGGTTGGTCACAGGTGAAGATACATCGAAGATACATCGAGGTTGGTCACACGTGAAGATACATCGAGGTTTGTCACACGTGAAGATACATCGAGGTTGGTCACACGTGAAGATACATCGAGGTTGGTCTCACGTGAAGATACATCGAAGATACATCGAGGTTGGTCACACGTGAAGATACATCGAGGTTGGTCACACGTGAAGATACATCGAGGTTAGTCACACGTGAAGATACATCGAGGTTGATCTCACGTAACGATTCAACGAGGTTGGTCACACGTGAAGATACATCGAGGTTGGTCAGACGTGAAGATACATCGAGGTTGGTCACACGTGAAGATACATCAAGGTTGGTCACACGTGAAGATATATCAAGGTTGGTCACACGTGAAGATACATCGAGGTTGATCTCAGGTAACGATTCAACGAGGTTGGTCACACGTGAAGAGACATCGAGGTTGGTCACACGTGAAGATACATCGAGGTTGGTCACACGTGAAGATACATCGAGGTTGGTCACACGTGAAGATACATCGAGGTTGGTCACACGTGAAGATACATCGAAGATACATCGAGGTTGGTCACACGTGAAGAAACATCGAGGTTGGTCACACGTGAAGATACATCGAAGATACATCGATGTTGGTCACACGTGAAGATACATCGAGGTTAGTCACACGTGAAGATACATCGAAGATACATCGAGGTTGGTCACACGTGAAGATACATCGAGGTTGGTCAAACGTGAAGATACATCAAGGTTGGTCACACGTGAAGATATATCAAGGTTGGTCACACGTGAAGATACATCGAGGTTGGTCACACGTGAAGATACATCGAAGTTGGTCACACGTGAAGATACATCGAAGATACATCGATGTTGGTCACACGTGAAGATACATCGAGGTTAGTCACACGTGAAGATACATCAAAGATACATCGATGTTGGTCACACGTGAAGATACATCGATGTTGGTCACACGTGAAGATACATCGAGGTTGGTCTCACGTGAAGATGCATCGAGTTTGGTCACACGTGAAAATACATCGAGGTTGGTCTCACATGAAGATACATCGATGTTGATCACACGTGAAGATACATCGAGGTTGATCTCACGTAACGATTCAACGAGGTTGGTCACACGTGAAGAGACATCGAGGTTGGTCACACGTGAAGAGACATCGAGGTTGATCTCATGTGAAGGGTACACACACACACACACACACACGCGCGCACGCACGCACGCACGCACACGACACGCACAAATTTTGAATGTGACGGTTTGCTCCGTTTCACCTCACTTATCAGTAAAAGTCAATGCCAGGATTTTTTTAAAGGATGTTATTTTGTGTATTAATGCCAAAGGTACATCAACATTCCATTACAATAACATTAAAAGCAACAAAATCTCTGCCAAAAGCACATTCAAGTCAACGACAAGTCAATTTTCACGTGAAAAAGAACGGGACATAAGGTTCAAGTCAAAATAAGGAATTGAATCATATTGAATCAATTGATGCGTTTAATTTGGAAATATTTTTAATTTGAAGTTAACACGATAAACGGCATTTCCACTGGACGAGAGTTGGGTCACAGGACCGCAAAATTGAGGTTCATACGTGTATGAACGACACAATGTGACGTTTCAGTAAACACTGAGTAACGTCAGAGAGTTTTACGATCGTTCATGCATATCCTTGATATGACCCATCCTAATGAACAAAACGAAGAAATGCACATCAAAACTATTGTAGTATCGACTTGATCCGTGTCTAGGCTGACAGTGACATTCTACAGCAATCTATGAAATAACCTTGAGTGCCTTTTTGACACACCTTTAATCACCTTTCAGTAATCGGCCAACTGATCAATGATGACTAAAACATGTAACTGCCCCACGTTCATCAACAACTTCGGAAATCTCCCGTCACGTTTATCGTGTCGGCCATTTTGACGTCTTGCACTTGATGTAAATGAATTATGACTAACGCTGTCATTGTGAGTAACTTACTAGGGTGGTTCTTAAGTCATTTCTCATCTTATGAGTATATTATTTGAATACAGGTGTTGCGTAAGATTTTTCTGAAGGGCAAGTTGTGCATACATACGCTCATATCATCTCTCGTTTTTAGGAACTTATTTATTCGGCGATACAGCCGATTGTTGTATGGCTGTCAGTGTAAACATGAAGTCACACGTACTAAATAAAATAGTGTATAAATCTCGGTCTACATCCTTTGAGGTAAGAAATTGTGTTGAAGAATTATAACAATTGATTTTCACTTTGTGTCTAGCAGGCTCCGTCGTTCATACAGTTTGGCCCTCACTCTATAACGGTTCATAATCGAATGAATTTATACAAAGTTAATTCTTAAATGTCCTCTGCATGTCTACCATAAAACATTGTACAAGATTTCGAAGGCCTTGCATGTTGTAACCTTGATTACACAGCTTCGGAACAAGAGTCGTTCGGCGGTGGTTGCTGGTAATAGCATGTTTGATTGTATTTCAAAAGCTGGCACGGGTAGTAGAACTAGAAATCGAGTAATGAAGGGTAATTATTTGAACTGATCAGTCAGGTCACAAGTGATGTGGTTGGAGCAGTCAGTGATGGAGTACGTAACCCAGTCGGTGGCTGTTGTCGATTTTGTTGATGTCGCAAGGAGACAGGATGGATCAGCAGATGGATTGTAGCTGAAACCGAGGCAAGGCTGGGTCTTGTAACACTTGATACCACAGTCACTGGCTGATATGGCATACACTGACGTCAGCGGTGTGTACAGCTTCTTGTTAAGACTCTTGTTGTACTTGGCGGCTAAAATACAGAATTTTGCAAAATCTATAAGCAGTGGCTCACTGAATGAGTTGAATAGGAGCATTGAGATGTGTTAGGAGCATTCATTTACAACACACTGCAGTGCTATTGTGACAGATCCTCAGATATAGCGGAAGACAAATACACATCTAGGTTGTGTGCAATAACTGTAGAAGTGCGCCTGTTAGTTTGTGAGCGAGTGAATGAGTAGGAATATTCATAGTATATGATATATTTGTGTTTATACTGAGATGGAGGGTGGGAAGGCACGTGGTCCAGTGCGGAACGTTATGATTGTGCTTGAAAGTCACAGACAAATATTGCTATTTATGTAATCCAGCACCACTTGGGCTTTCTGCCGTGATGTTATCTATAGCCATGACATCAGTCAAGATCTAACAGTTACCCATTGTCCTTCCCGGGGTGTATAATGGATTATATATCATGGGAGGGTGTTTGGGAGGATTGGTGGTCGAGTAAGGCACGTATAATCAAGCTGGCATAAACACATATTATGTATATGTATGTAATCTCTAGGTATAGCATGATACACGATCCAATAGTTACCCCTTGTTCTTCTCGGAGTGCCCTCAACCTCGACCTCCTGGACAGTCAGGTAGCCTGTGATGTTTCTCCAGACCCTCACGAATCTCACAGGCTGCACGTGGGAACAGCTGAAGGTCAAGGTTTCTCGAGGTAATGTATCTGCCGGCCATTGACCACACCAGGTCACGTCGTCATCCGGGCACTTGATGTCAACTGACGACACACCAATGTACGCATCTCTGATGTCTGAAGCTGCGAAATTGAAACGATATATACTACGTACAACTCAACAGTTGGTTGATCAAATAAATACATTATCACTTCACATGCTCATTGTAAGCTGTTCAATCCCAAGACAAGATAAATTTTCTGTTCATAAACATACTGGAATTATCTATGTATAATAAGTAATATATGCAATGACTCTTTTGAGCAGATGTTTTTTTTAACGCATGCAACGTAAATCGGTCGCCTGATGTGGAATTGCCGCGTACATTATTCGGATTTTAGAAATAAATAGTTTTCTGAAACATTATGTCCCCAGTAAATGTGATTCTTGAAAGATTGTTAACACTGGACATGATCATTTCATATAGGGGTTGGTATTATATTAATTTTGATACATATATCGGCTCACCAAATGTAGTATGGTCGTCGCTGGTGACTGTGATGTTATGTACTGTGTAGAACCCTTGCAAGTCTCCCTGCCAGTAGGGGCCTGCCTGAAAACCACTTCTGGCTGGCCATCTGATCTTGCTGCCATCATTGGCATAGTAGGAGTGGTAATAATAATCTTTGCCATCAGATTTCCATTTGTAAGTAGAACTGAGGCGCCTTGGTTTTTGTAACATGATATTATCTGCCTTGACATGAAGCCGATCTGAAGGAATAATTGTTATTTTTTATGAATTTCCACTGGAGTTGCAATACAATGAAAATACATCTAGCTTAGTCACCTTTCATGCGGAGATATTCAGACTGAACGTGATATCTGATTTCATTAAGGACATGTTTACTTCACAATTGGAACACTGTCCAAAAGGAAGGTAAGGTCCAGTGTGACCATTGTGAATCGTCCTCATGTTGCACTGACTTATCATGTAAACTCTCATTGAAACGTTTCTCTGTAAATACATCTTTGCCTGTGCATAAATAAAAATACTAGACGTGTATGGGGTAGCAGAGATAATCAGTAGTATTTTGAGCATGGGACAGGAGTCCTTTTGGAGAATATCCCTATGAAGGACACATGACAACGCTGATGATAACAGAGAGTGTGACAGCTTGGTTTAACACTGTTCTTGACAATATTTCATAGCGTGCCAACTTAATGTTGTAGGTAGTCGCCACTATTCACGACCATGAGTCTGGTGCCGTAATGAAATTACTGACATCAAGGACTATTTTGAACTAAAAAAAATCTTTTTGAGGTTACCCGTGACGATCCGGGATAGAATAGATCTTCAGCAGCCCATTCTTGCCGTAAAAGGCAACAAAGCTTGTCGTAAGAGGCGACTAACGGGATCGGGTGGTCAGGCTCGCTGACTTGGTTGAAGCATGTCATCGATCCAAAATGCGTGGATCGATGCTCATGATATCAGTCACTGGACTGTCTGGTCCAGACTCGATTATTTACAGACCGCCGTCATATAGCTGGAATATTGCTGAGTGCGGCGTAAAACAACAAACCAACCAACCAAATCTTTTTGAGGTGAACACACTGACTTGTAACGAAGTTGTTTGTATGTTCATGTTATCTCAAAATAAGTTGTCCTCAAACTGACAGTGTAGTTTGTAAGCATATTATAAGTTATCCACTTGGGCATATTTCTTCCTTCCTTTCCTTCACTCACAAGCACACATATTTAATCGTTTCCTCCTGGGAGTCGTAATTGGCTTGGGTAAGATTTTGTACAACAGTCAGTTTAATTGTACGACACATATATATATTACGTATACGTTATGGTCAACACTCCCAAACTGAATCATGAACCAAATATTCTACATACCTTGGACCCAGATACAACACACGATGAATATCATCTCCCGAGCAGACAGCAGCATCCTTCACTCGTCTCCTGGTGGGTTCTGAATGTCCCGACTTGGATCATTATCACAATCATCAGGGCAGGACGATTGGATCCTTTGACAACGACCATTGTCTCAGTTGTCTTACCTTACAAATATTCTTCTCAAATATCAATCTACTTGAATTGAAACGATGCATTACTTATATTTTACTTTGGATTATTAGTTACCTGGCCATAGAATATTGAACACATCATTTATGTGGCGAATCAATACTTATTAACTGAAGTCTGACTAATTGCACATCATCGCAGTGATGGGCTGCGACTGCACTACCCGATGGATTATTGACAAATCAACTTTGGGTTATTAGTTCCATTAACTTGAAGAATATCAAACACATCATTTATGTTTATGTGGCGAATCAATACTTATTAACTGAAGTCTGACTAATTACACACTGCATGAGTGATGGGCTGCGACTGTACTACACGATGGATTATTTACAATTTTATTTTGTACTAAGTACTAATTTAATAGCAAGCTTTAGAATAAAAAAATATTCACATTCACAAAACACTCAACACTGTATCAATTAAACGCAAGCATCTCACGTTATAAGCAATTTCTATAGGAAATTAAAATGCCATGACTTTGAAAAGGTGTTTGATAGTGTATGGAGAACTGATTTATGGAATGAGTTCATTAAATATGAAATTACAGGTAAATGTTTCAGAATTATTCAATCTATGTACAACAGTATTGAATCATGTCTGATGACCCTCTGATGGTATCATGTCTTTCATTCAAAGCCCATCATCCTTAGAAGAAGCAATATATCACTGTTTCATCAGCAAAGAGCAAAGCCTACCACTTCACGTAGATACATGTGGTCATTGGTGGGTACAGTCCCACCACAGTTACTTATTCAATTTCAAGGTGTAATACGCCCCTACTATTCTCACGATGTAAATGACCGTGAGCAATAGTTCACTTTCAATAACTGTGCTGGGATTGTACTCAACGATGACCTCATGTATCCACGAGAAGTATTTCGCTTTGCTCTATGCTGATGATACAGTGATAGTTTGCTTCTTCTAAGGCTGATGGGCTTTGGATGACAGACATGATACCATCAGAGGGTCATACTGCAATTGAAGTTTTCAAAGCGTTCAGGCAATAGTATGTATAATCATTGAAACTCGTGAAGATTCCGGGGTAGAATAGGTCTTCAGCAACCCATGCTTGCCGTAAAGGGGACTATGCTTGTCGTAAAAGACGACTTACGGGATCGGGTGGTCAGGCTCGCTGACCTGGTTGATGCATGTCATCGATACCAATTGCGTGGATCGATGCTCATGACATTAATCACTGGATTGTCTGGTCCAGACTCGATTATTTACAGACCGCCGTCATATAGCTGAAATATTGCTGAGTGCGGCGTAAAAACAACAAACCAACCAACCAAATCATTGAAAATGGATGAGTCATCATAACATCCATGTATGTCCCGTTTAGCAACTGTTGATATGTTTGTGGACTGGATAGCTTTAATATTTGTTGTAACAATGTTGTCTCCAGCATTACGTTTAATGGCCATAGTTCTCGTGGGCAGCCTCGTTTCTTTCCACTATGTCTCGATTGTGTGATGTCACTTCTATGTTCGGAGTACCATCTCTCTGCTTTGAAGAGGGCACATGTTTCGCCACGATGAGTACCATGTTTGATTTACGACGACCTTTCTTTTTACATGTAAAAAAACAAAGATACTACATTTAAAACTGTGGCGTGAATAAGGTACTGTTTGCGTGTGTTAATGTTTGAGACACACAACAGTGGTCAGTAGTGTGAAACTGTTTGTATGTGATAGTATGTGAGACGCACAACAGCGGTTAGTAGTGTGAAACTGTTTGTATGTGATAGTGTGTGAGACGCACAACATTAGTCAGTTGTGTGAAACTGTTTGTATGTGATAGTATGTGAGACGCACAACAGCGGTCAGTAGTGTGAAACTGTTTGTATGTGATAGTGTGTGAGACGCACAACAGCGGTCAGTAGTGTGAAACTGTTTGTATATGATAGTATGTGAGACGCACAACAGCGGTCAGTAGTGTGAAACTGTTTCTATGTGATAGTGTGTGAGACGCACAACAGCGGTCAGTAGTGTGAAACTGTTTGTATGTGATAGTGTGTGAGACGCACAACAGCGGTCAGTAGTGTGAAACTGTTTGTATGTGATAGTATGTGAGACGCACAACAGCGGTCAGTAGTGTGAAACTGTTTGTATGTGATAGTATGTGAGACGCACAACAGCGGTCAATAGTGTGAAACTGTTTGTATGTGATAGTGTGTGAGACGCACAACATTAGTCAGTTGTGTGAAACTGTTTGTATGTGATAGTATGTGAGACGCACAACAGCGGTCAGTAGTGTGAAACTGTTTGTATGTGATAGTGTGTGAGACGCACAACAGCGGTCAGTAGTGTGAAACTGTTTGTATGTGATAGTATGTGAGACGCACAACAGCGGTCAGTAGTGTGAAACTGTTTCTATGTGATAGTGTGTGAGACGCACAACAGCGGTCAGTAGTGTGAAACTGTTTGTATGTGATAGTATGTGAGACGCACAACAGCGGTCAGTAGTGTGAAACTGTTTGTATGTGATAGTGTGTGAGACGCACAACAGCGGTCAATAGTGTGAAACTGTTTGTATGTGATAGTGTGTGAGACGCGCAACATTAGTCAGTTGTGTGAAACTGTTTGTATGTGATAGTGTGTGAGACGCACAACAGTGGTCAGTAGTGTGAAACTGTTTGTGTCTGATAGTGTGTGAGACGCACAACAGCGGTCAGTAGTGTGAAACTGTTTGTATGTGATAGTGTGTGAGACGGACAACAGCGGTCAGTTTTGTGAAACTGTTTGTGTGTGATAGTATGTGAGACGCACAACAGCGGTCAGTAGTGTGAAACTCTGTCAGATAGCGTGTGAGACGCCAACATTAGTCAGTTGTGCGAAACTGTTTGTGTCTGATAGTGTGTGAGACGCACAACAGTCTTTGGAGAGGAAGCATCTAACACAGCAAGGATCAATTGTGTATGTGCTCACTGTGCATGTGGTGTGATAACAAATTGTAAACCACTGAGTGTCATGTGAGAAAGTGTACAATAAAGGGTAGGTCATTTTCCATATGTCATGGCCTGCAAATTATTGATATAGCCCAGGCTACCATTGGAAAACAGGACCCCCAATATTTCGGGACAATGTACTGTGTCGGCAAACAGTTTCAATATTTCACTTCCATGTAATGTGGCAGTCCTCATAAAAGAACACCCTGGGTGTCAACGTGTCGTACGTGGGGAGAAACTCAAAGTGCTCTAGCAGGCGTACCTGTATTTCAAGCATATAGAGATTCACGCTCTTGTCATCCATTCCGACAGTATAGTGACACATGAAGTCGTCGAACAACATTGGACATTGACAACACTACATAAGTCAGTGCTAGTATGTTCATACCATCATTGTCACAGTGTGCATGATGGAGATGTGTCAGTACAAGCAGAGAACAAGGCAGATAACTCGTCATTTACTGCAGCACTTGCATCCACCAATCTGTCATCATGAACTTACATTTTAGCTTATCAGACTTACTGCCATCACGACGATAACACTTCTCCGTGTTGACCCGGACCCCAACACATCCACAGTTTGCTCATTACTTATAGCTTATCCTGATAAAGCTGGGCTAAAGCTGACGGCAGCGTCCTGAAAAGACGATATATATGAAGAGGTTTAATGTGTTATAGTGTCAGTGACAAATTTCCCGGATCATAGATGATCACAACAATGACACACAAACCGTAGAGGCGTACGATTCGAAAAGAAAACCACCCAGTGCATCAACAAAAGGGCCATGGAGCTGCATGCAGCACTGTAAACGGCATTAAAGTGCAGGATTTGTGATTGCCTGGCATCTGCGTCAATCGAACAGTGACAGTTCAACAACATGTCAAGACTAACAGTGCAAAGAAACAACGTCACAGGCTGCTTCCCGATCAGCTGTAGCCAGGGTTTTCAATGTAGCGCCCAGCACCATCACACGGCTATGGAATCTCTTTTTAACGGCATGGGTCAACATGTGATCGGCCAAGGTCGGGACGACCAAGAGTAGCCACCCTCGCCCAAGATCGCTTCATCCGACTGCGCCACCTACGTGAAAGGACGACCACAGCCACCACAACCACATCCCAAATACCCGGACTGCGCAGAATCTCCGACTAGACCGTACGAAACATTTTAAGAGCAGCATGTCTATGAGCAAGACGTCCTGTTCGACACGTCATATTGAGTCGACAACATCGTCAACAACGACTGCACTGCTGTCGTCAACACAGGGTATGGCCTCAACTGCGATGGAGTGATGTCTGGTTAAGCGACGAATCAAGATTTCTCCTTCGTGAAGGGGATCAAAGAGCACGGGCCTACAGATGTCGCAGAGAACGTTACGCCTGAAACTGCGTACAGGAAGTGGACAGGTGTGGTGGGGTGTAGCGTTATGATGTGGGCGGCTATCTCTCATCATGACAGGACAGGTTTGGTCCACATCCAGGGGAATCTTACGGCTCAACGATACATCAACGAAATTCTCCTACCACACGTCCTACAGCACGCATCACAAGAGCCTATCTACACAACGTTGATGTTCTCCTCTGGCCCTCTAGATCCCCGGATTTGAACCCGATAGAGCACCTGTGGGATGAATTGGATAGAGGGCTACGCTGACGTCAACCACAACCCTAGACGTTGCAGCAGTTGGCTTTTGAGTTGCAGGCTACCATTCCTCAGGATATGATTCGCATACTCGTCTCTGACAGTGGCAGGATATGTCAGGCCGCTATCGATTCCAACGGGGGAAAAACGCATTATTGATGGTACATGTAGCTGACCTTCACCTTGGACATTTCCTATGTACCAATAACTGAGATGACTACAATTACCAAATGTTCTGTCCAAAAGATATGAACCTTTTAATAATCAGCTCAGTCAATATGCACTAATGGAACAATTGTAGTTCACCCAGTCAGCGACATAAGTTTATATATTTTGGGGGCTTCCAAAAACGCATTTCAAATGAAATGTGTGTATTTTCTCTTTTTCTTTTTATACGCAGTCCGAGTGAATGTAGACTTTATTTTGATCAATAGTATATGATATAACATTTTGCCTCACATTAGATGAGCTTCGTGTGGACTAAGGCAAAAATATGCTGAGTATCAACTATCTATATAACCTGGCAGGTGCCTCACTATTGCACGTATGACGCATCAAGATATATCTTTATCACCAAGAACCTCACTATAACATGTCTGGGTGCATCAGTACAACGCTTTATCACACGCTGGGTACCTCCGTACTTTCTATATTATCTGCCCGGTGATCTGTTGGTGTCAGACAGATAACTGTACAAAGGTAGCTGGAGGAGACAACTGTCATCACTTCGTCTGGACCAGGCACAGAGGAGGAGCTGGTTGCAGCTGCTCATCATGAACACTCTAACCCTCGCAGCAAGTCTTGCAGTGATCACAGTGGCCTACGGTATCGTTACCTTCAATGCCTACACCGACGACGAGAAGGATGCTCACGATATTTTTCGAATTTTGATGAGACCTCGAACACCTGAGAGGTATATGCCGAAGTCGTATTTCCATAAACACGTGAGTTCGTTATATCATGCATATGGTCATTGTACAATTTTTTCATGCACTGATGAAGTATTGAACAGTTTCATATACATAAGACAATTATGTTTGTTGCAAGACTCCTTTCTTTGAAACAAAAATAATGTAATAAAATGCTTCATACCGCTTCATTTTACGGGCAAAGCGATATTGCCCCATCTATTGTTCATGATATCACAAATTGATAACATTTCGCCATCAAAGCAATCATTTGACTTCAGTGAAGTATCTCTGTAGGGTTGACACTGCATACGTTTGTCTTCAGTTTCTTTCATAGTATAGCAATGAGTACTATATAGAAACTTAGATAATCCTAAAATTCAGTCAATAGTAATTCCTAAAGGTATCAGTCTTTAATGACCGCCTCGTAATGCGGGCTATTCTTGGAATTTTGTCTGATATATTTTACAGCTGCAAAAGCTAAGAGGTTGAAATGTGTTTTTTTAATAAGAAAGACACCTTGAAACAATGCAATTTTTGTAGCAGACAAGTTAGAATTGTTTTATAGTTTAATGTAGAATTTTCTAGGACAATATGTTTTCGATACTGCTGGTGATAACATATACATGCACATAGGGGAGTGATCTGTCGCCGATACATTACAACTGTTATCGCTGTAGATACACACACATCTGTGACATCATACTTTTCAAAATATACTCTCGTACTCTTTTTATTGAGTAATTGATTCAGATGATGCCATATTTTGTTTCAGTGCAGCTAAATGTGACACACAGTCTGATTTCCTGAGGGTTTTTTAAAATGAACTTCTGGATTTAATATTCGACCCAGTGATATTTGAGACAATGCCTCTGACAACATTTAAACAAGCTCTATGAATATATCTAAAATAATAAAACATGTCTCACAGACATAGATGCAGTATTGTATGGGTAGAATGGACTCACAAAGTGTTCGTGGATCGGCGTCTAGTTTTTTGTTTGTTTGTTGTTTAACGCCGCACTCAGCAATATTCCAGCTATATGACGGCGGTCTGTAAATAATCGAGTCTGGACCAGACAATCCAGTGATTGATATCATGAGCATCGATCCATACAGTTGGGATACGATGACGTGGATGACGTGCGTCAACCAAGTCAGCGGCTGGCGTGTTGAGATCCATTATGCATGGTAATGAGAAACGAGGACACGGAGTTCGTGTGTCATTAGACGTGCATAGAGTTATTAGTTAACACATTGTGGAATTTAGAATAGTTAATATAGTATCAATATGTTTCTCACAGGGAATAAAACCAGCTACGAGACTGTCAACCTTCACTGTCAGGAACTGTGGGAACCCTGCCACTGAATCCGGCAAACTTGTCAGTCTTCAAGTGACCCCTGACCCCATTCAACTTCCTGGTGAAATAGGTGTGGCTTTCGCCCTGGATTTCTACAGGGCAGTTCTGACTCCTCTGAAGGTCTGGATTACAAATATCTGTAACACAATCTGTCACACTGGCTTTAACACGATCTGTAACAATCTGTAACATAATCTGTAACACAATATGTAACACAATCTGTCACACTGGCTTTAACACGATCTGTAACAATCTGTAACATAATTTGTAACACAATATGTAATACAATCTGTCACGCTGGCTTTAACACGATCTGTAACAATCTGTAATACAATCTGTCACACTGGCGTTAACACGATCTGTAACAATCTGTAACACAATCCGTAACACTGGCTTTAACACGATCTGTTACACAATCTGTAATACAATCTATCACACTGGCTTTAACACGATATGTAACAATCTGTAACACAATCTGTAACACTGGCTGTAACACGATCTATAACAATCTGTAACACAATCTGTAACACTGGCTTTATCACGATCTTTAACAATCTGTAACACTGGCTTTAACACGATCTATAACAATCTGTAATACAATCTCTCACACTGGCTTTCACACGATCTTTAACAATCTGTAACACTGGCTTTATCACGATCTGTAACAATCTGTAATACAATCTGTCACACTGGCTTTAACATGACCTGTAACAATCTGTAATACAATCTGTCACACTGGCTTTAACACGATCTGTAACACAATCTGTAACACTGGCTTTAACACAATCTGTAACACAATATGTCACACTGGCTTTAACACAATATGTAACACAATCTGTCACACTGGCTTTAACACAATCTGTAACACAATCTGTAATACAATCTGTCACACTGGCTTTAACACGATCTGTAACAATCTGTAATAAAATCTGTCACACTGGCTTTAACACGATCTGTTACACAATCTGTAACACTGGCTTTAACACAATATGTAACACAATCTGTCACACTCGCTTTAACACAATCTGTCACATGATCTGTAACACAATCTGTCACACTGGCTTTAACGCAGTATGTAACACATTCTGTCACACTGGCTTTAACACAATATGTAATACAATCTGTCACACTGGTTTTAACACAATATGTAACACAATCTGCCACACTGGCTTTTCACACAATCTGTAACAATCTGTACAAACCTGTCACACTGGCTTAAACACAATATGTTACACAATCTGTCACACTGGCTTAAACACAATATGTGACACAATCTGTCACACTGGCTTTAACACGATCTGTAATACAATCTGTCCCAATGGCTTTTACACGATCTGTAACACAATCTGTCACACAGGCTTTAACACGATCTGTCACACTGGCTTTAACACAATATGTAACACAATCTGTCAATGGATTTAACACAATATGTAACAATCTGTAACACAATATGTCACACTGGCTTTAACACGATCTGTAACACAATATGTAACACAATCTGTCACACAGGCTTAAACACAATCTGTCACACAATCTGTCACATAATGTTTCACACTGGCTTTAACACGATCTGTAACACAATCTGTCACACAATCTGTCACATGATCTGTAACACTGACTTTAACACGATCAGTAACAATCTGTCACACTAGCTTTAACACGATCTGTAACAATCTGTATCATAATCACACTGGCATTGACACAATATGTAACACAATCTGTCACAGTGGCTTTAACACAATATGTAAGAATCTGTCACACTGGCTTTAACACGATCTGTAACAATCTGTAACACAATCTGTGACTCTGGCTTCAACACGATCTGTAACACAATCTGAAGCACGATTGATTGATACTGTGAAAATAAACATAGCGTTTCAATCATTCAACATGCTTTTTATTTAACATTATTTTGAAATACATTCCTAGGTTGCAAGAATAATGCCAAAACAAACAAGGACATGTTAACCCAGATGTCTGTGCAGTTTTGATGAATATGGTCATAAGGACTGTAAATATGTGTCAATGACTGTGGGCATGTGTCAGTGCATGTAGGCACATCCGGATTGGTGTCCGGTGTAATCAATGTACCTTTATTTCTGCCTCGTATCAAAATCAGCTTCCCCTTCAACTTGCAGACCTCGGTGCAGATCAAGAAGAGGGTGTTGTCCAATTGGATCACCGTCCCCTGCATCGACCAGTTCGGCACCTGTGACTATGCTGACTTCTGTGAAATCCTCGATATGATACCGGAGTGCCCTCAGCCATTCATCGACAACAACGTGCCATGCCAGTGTCCCTTCCAACAGGTGAGTGTGACAACAACGTGCCCTGCCAGTTCCCCTTCCAACAGGTGAGTGTGACAACAACGTGCCCTGCCAGTTCCCCTTCCAACAGGTGAGTGTAACAACAACGTGCCCTGCCAGTGTCCCTTCCAACAGGTGAGTGTGACAACAACGTGCCCTGCCAGCCTCCCTTCCAACAGGTGAGTGTGACAACAACGTGCCATGCCAGCGTCCCTTCAAAAAGGTGAGTGTGACAACAACGTGCCCTGCCAGTTCCCCTTCCAACAGGTGAGTGTAACAACAACGTGCCCTGCCAGTTCCCCTTCCAACAGGTGAGTGTGACAACAACGTGCCATGCCAGCGTCCCTTCAAACAGGTGAGTGTGACAACAACGTGCCCTGCCAGTTCCCCTTCCAACAGGTGAGTGTGACAACAACGTGCCCTGCCAGCCTCCCTTCCAACAGGTGAGTGTGACAACAACGTGCCCTGCCAGTTCCCCTTCCAACAGGTGAGTGTGACAACAACGTGCCCTGCCAGCCTCCCTTCCAACAGGTGAGTGTGACAACACCGTGCCCTGCCAGCCTCCCTTCCAACAGGTGAGTGTGACAACAACGTGCCCTGCCAGCCTCCCTTCCAACAGGTGAGTGTGACAACAACGTGCCCTGCCAGCCTCCCTTCCAACAGGTGAGTGTGACAACAACGTGGCCTGCCAGCGGCCCTTCCAACAGGTGAATGTGACAACAACGTGGCCTGCCAGCGGCCCTTCCAACAGGTGAATGTGACAACGTGTTCGGGGGCGGCATCGTTATGGTATGGGTCGGGATTACAGCAAGACAGAGGACCCGTTTGATAGTGGTAGAGGGAAATCTCATTGGACAGCGATACCGCGACGTGATCATCGGCCCTGTTGTTCTACCGTTTTTACGTCGTCATGGCCAAGGCATTACCTTTCAACATGACAACGCCTGGCCTCATACTGCTCGACTTGTTCAGGATTCCCTTCAACAAAACAACGCGAATGTCACCCCTGGCCGGCTCGCTCCCCTGATCTCTCACCAATCGAGCACATATGGGATGAGATGGATCGGCGCGCTCGACGTCAACCACGTGTTCAACAGACACTCCAGGAACTTCGAAACATGCTCCAGCAGATATGGACATATATCCCACAATACTTTGTGCGACGAACATGTATTGCTTGCATCGCAACCAGAGGTGGACACACACGCTATTGATTCGTAAATTGACATTTTGGCATGTTGATGTTACTTATGAAATCACACATTTTCTGAAGTCAGTATGGCAAATTAAACAAAATGAACACTCACAGGGGTCTTTTATCTGTTGCAAACCGAAATTGTTTCAGATTTGGTAAAAAGATAACTTTGCATTAAATCTTATTCAATTCAAACAATGTCGCTTCTAAACAACTATAGCTGGGAGCAATAACCTAGCCCACTGGTCCACTATTGCGTCATCCATGGATCATATATTATTTCTACTGACATCCTTATTGGTTTCTAACCGCATTGTCTTATTCGTTTCTGGGTTGGGTTGTGAAGAGCGGTGAGGGTGTCAACAGATACCATTTTCGATCTTTAGAATTCTAGAATATATTAAGGGTATTAAATTGGTATTCAAAGTAGGAGCCCATTGCATTTGACAGTTCAATATTGAAGGCAAGACGTGAGTAAACAATTTTCAAAACAGTTTTTTTTCTGTTTCCAGGGTAACTACACACTCCCCAAGACTCAGTTTGAGGTGGACATCTCCTTCCTGCCTGCTGGTGACTACTTTGGTCAACTGAACATGACGATGAGCAACGCCCCAGTGGTTTGTTACCAGGTCTACCTCACATTTGCCTGACATTGTATAACCGCTGTATCACATGGCTGCCATGAACAACGCCCCAGTGGCCTGCTACCAGGTCTACCTCACATTTGCCTGACATTGTATAACCGCGCGCTGTATCACATGGATAATACAGATATGTGTATAGTGCACAGAAACGTACACTGTACAGTCTCTATTGATGCTATGGTTCAGTTTATTACAAAGATGCAATTCCATTACAGAGACTATAAAGTGATCCATACGAAATGCGGTTGTGTGTGATCATTGCCAGAGACGCCATACGTATTTATGTCAGCCGAAGAGACGTATCGCACAAACACATGTTCACGCGTTCTCCATACACGTACTCTACCCTGAACACAACATACTTCACAAAGTTTCTGGTAATAATCACTGATTTGTTTGTTTGTTGTTCAACGCCGCACTGAGCTATATTCCAGCTACATGGCGGCGGTCTGTAAATACATGGCGTCTGGACCAGACAATCCAGTGATTCATATCATGAGCATCGATTCACGCGATTGGGGTACGATGACATGCATCAACCAAGTCAGCGAGCATGACCACCCCATAGGTTAGTCGCCTCTTTCGACAAGCATAGTCGCCTTTCACAAACATTGGTTGATGAAAACCTATTCTTATCCCTGGTACAGCTGGTACCAGTTGCAGTTCCTTATGGCTGCAGTGAGTGAGGGAGTTAGGTTTAACGCCACTCTTAACAGTATTCCAGTTACACACGGCGTGTCAGCTTAATGGGGGAGGAAAGCCCGAAGTAATGCAGGTCTTAGACGTTTACCACTTCGGCGAAACCCACGAGTATGGTGCTGACAAACCTAGAAACAATCGAGGCGAACCCTCCGACGAATACCACGCACACATTAAAGGTTGAACGGTGTCTTCGTTATGTCAATGTCAATGCATGACAAGATTCCGTTGTCAAAATAACTATCACGCACGACAGTGGCGACCTCTACCCTCCTGTTGACGAGTAGCTACGTAGAATTTCGACTCCCACTGGACACCTGGAATTGAACGGTTCCCCGTCACCCTAACCGGTGGTAGGAAGTTCAACTGGCTTTGTCTCCACCAGATAACTACAAAGACAGATGTGGGTGGAAATTCATTTCAGATGATGGGTATCCAACATGTGCGAGATCGAATTCCAGGTCCGTGATTGGCTACTTAAAGGTGATGACCTGAGGTAAGATTATGACGGACTTTTCTCCTGATCGTAGGTAAGTTATTTCAGTCGAATGTTAACCATGTCTGTGTTGAACGTTATGATTTAAGAGTTTAGACCCTGGATGCCACAGTGACATGTCCTCACTTCGAACTCGAATAAATTACAAATTACACTACTTATACTCATACACTTCACAGTTGTGAATTCTGAGGGAAATTCCCTCTTCTGTGATGTCATCCATTTTATGCAAAGCAAACTTACTTAAAGGTCCCCTTTGAAATTTGTCTTTTTACCTTATTCATTTACATTACAACTCGCTCGTTAGATACGTTTGAAAACAACTCGTAAGATAAATGGTATCTGACAGACACTCGTTTATTAATCTCTGTGTAACCGATAAACTACTTCAGTGTTTTTACCTTAATCACTTCTGTTCCACTATTTCCACATAACAGTAGATTCACCCTTCATGTCAGAAATGGGGGCACGAGTGGCCCAGTCGTCTAAGGCTTCGCGATTCGCTGTGCAGAGTTGCGTCCCTTGGGAACGCCAGACGCCTATGATTGTGGGTTCGAATCCCGGTTCGCCCCAATTATGTTTCTAGGTTTGTCAGCACCATACCCGTGCTCGTGGGTTTCACCGAAGTGGTAAACGCCTGAGACCTGCATCACTCCGGGCTTTCCTCCCACATTAAGATGGAACGCCGCGATGTAACTGGAATACTGTTAAAAGCTGCGTTAAACCCAACTCACTCACTCACTCATGTCAGAAATACCCTACACAACATAATTACCTCAACTTACTCATGATCATTTCAACGCTATAAAATAATATGTTATACAACCTTAAATCAACCCAACAACAATATGAACTAACCATCGACTAAACGTTATCACAAAGTTATATAAACATAATATGAACACAAGTCACGTCTATAAGACGACCCATGTCAGTGTCAGACCTCCCCAGTCTCTGAGCACAACCTTGCTGGTTATGTGCCCCGAGCAGGTGCATCTCAAGCATCAAGGCTCGTGCTGGGGGGTGCGTTCATACGCTAAAACCGTTGGTTGCGTTTTACGAACTGACCCTAAACATCTACATGTAAAGTGCCGATCGTTTTGTTTTAAAACATGTTAAATTAAGGCATATTCCATATTGTCGTAATGTTGCCTATTAAACATATAGATATATACTTCTTTGGTGTATGTTAGAAGAAACAGATTTCTAGTTTGATCGGGATTATAGTTGAATTGGCAATTAATCGCTTCGTTACACACGGCTGACTTTGAGGTGCAGTTGAACGATTTGAGCTGGAAGAGAATGAACTTGACATGGTTTACTCTCACTTTGCCAGCAGGCTGCGGAGATTAACTTGTACGGTCCAGTGACTTGCCAGCTATAGCCTGTTCTGATTATCTGAGCTACTTGATGACTTAGCTGTGACCCACTGTGAGCCAAACGTAACTAATGGAGTGAACTGTGTTCAGCTTAACAGATATGAACATAAATGTAATTTTTAATTAATACAAACTACAAAATACATACCGCTCTAGGGTGTGTGCAGTCCATTGCTCTCTCTATGTGCACTTGCCGAGATTCGACGGTTCGATTACGATTAGAGAGGAGTAAGCCTTGGTTCAGGGCTTTGCATTATTGTGTAAAGTGCATCGTGTGGTTATGCATGTGATATAACGTGATTTCACAAATGCATTTGGGGAATATTCTATGTCCGTTTAAATCATTTGTAATAAATATACGTGAGATTCAAGATAATAGTTACTTCATTCCTATACGAAAGCTTTGCATTTGTGACGATCCGGGTCAGAATTGATCTTCAGCAAGCCATGCTTGTCGTAAGAGGCGACTAAGGGGATCGGGTGGTCAGGCTCGCTGACTTGGTTTGATACATGTCATCATATCCCAATTGTGTGGATTGATGTTCATTATGTCAATCACTGGACCGTCTGGTCTAGACTCGATTATTTACGGACCGCCGTTATATACATTGTAGCTGGAACATTGCTGAGTGCGGCGTTTAACAACAAACAAACAAAACAAAAGTGAGCCACACTCGTTGACACCACACTTTTGCGACTGATGATTGACAGGAGAATTTTCACGAGGGCTTTTCCCTGTTTCATTTCACCTGCCAATCAACGGCCGTAAAAGCTTTGTGTAAACGAACGAAGCGCGAGAATTGGTTGAGGTAACACCACGCCCACTACACTGAACGATGCCCTGAAGGCAAAACGTATCTACGTCATTCCATTTAGAAAAGAAACGGCATCTCGCTGTCAGACAGGGACAACAGTGTACATCTACGCAATGTTGCAGTGTGGCTGCCGTAAGTGCGTTGGGGGACAGGGATGTGTACGACAAAGCATTATCCCTAGTCGCGAACTGCAGTGGGAAAAGATGCCATGCAATGCGGTACAGGAAATGTGGGATGACGATCTTGATGATTGACTTTGTCTCCAGTCGGGGCTGTTCTTCGTTGAAAGAATCCCTCAGAAATTATAATTGATTTTACATATGTCTTGCATCGAAAATATAACCAAGACACAGTTAAATGTGTTCAATCATACTGAAAATTCCGCACGTCCCGATGTGCTTTAAATTGCATCTGAAATATATATAATAAATGGGGAAATATATGTGAACCATTACGCAACGAGTTGACAGGTGTTTTAGGTATGCCCTCGGTCGCAAAAATGGCCATGAGAGGGGCACGAGCCGCTATTCGGCTTGTCCCGGAATAACACAAGTTGGTCACGAATGAAATACCAAATGATAACGTGGATTTTGTTAAAAGTGGCAGTGTCAACGAAATGGTGAGCCACTACCTGAACTACAAGACGTTCCCTTTGAAAATGTAAATACTTGGTAGGCCAAGATTGTGATGGAGGCTCCCAAAGTGGATGTGCCAAGAGTCTACCGAATACCATGTTTCTCTAAAACTGTGAATGTTTCGCCTGTGATGAAAGTCGCGAGTTTAGGACCAACTATAGATACAGATAACAGTGTTGCGTGACCACCACGAAAGTACATAGAATTTCAGGGAAAATCAGCAAAAATCTTCAACGGCGGCCTCATCAATATGTTCACGCCACAAATATCAGGCATCATACGGCAAGAGAAATTGCTGATCTATATGAAATGTATTAGTCGAAAATAGGGACCTTTCTGCAGAAGGCCGCTTGAAAGTCGCGAAGTGGGCGTGGTCAGGTTCAGTACACACGTTCTACGAGTGAATAAACTTCGATCTCTGATGAAGAAGATGTGTCATGCTGCAGGTATTGTAGACAATTTCAGCAACCATTCAGGTAAACGTACGTGTGCAACCAGATAGTATGAGACCGGCGTTGAAGAACATGTGTCACGCAGCAGGTATGGTAGGCAATATTGTGATTTTCAAACGGAGGAAACTATTTTCCTTTAGCTTTGCAGTGATCTGTTTTATGTGTTTTTTGTGTTAGTGTTTAAAAAATAGACATTCCTTTTTAATGTGTATATTTGCAGTGCGTTCTGCCTTTAGCCGTCACTAGTTCCTGTGATATAATGATAATGTTCTACATTATTAAGTTGCGAAACGACAATTTTTAAACGGCATATTTAAACATTGAACACGTTTAACAGCGAAGTCATGACAATACGCATTTACACTGGTGCAACATACAACGACGTTGTATTCTACAACATGTCAGCTCAACAACTGGTAGGCGTGGCTTCCGTCAGCCAATCAATGATAAGGGGACCGGTCTAAAAGTGTGGTATTAACTGACTTTAGGTTACACCCCAGGTAAGATGACAGGGACTGACACCAACACGTGGAACAAGTACATGTGCACAACACAGAGATTTCAGGCAGATCGTCACCAGCAAGCCGTACAACCTGACGACGAGATGGTCAGGAATGGCACAATGGCGTACCAACTAATCTTGAGTACGTTCTTTCTATATTCCACAGGTATGCCTTATGACAACATCAATCAACGTTTGATATGTGTGTTTTTGTTGTTCAAAGCCCACGTTCCAGCAAGATGACGAAGAGCTATAACGTATC